GTGAGGGCATGAGGGCATGAGTGCATGAGGGCATGAGGGCATGAGGGCGTGAGGGCATGAGGGCATGAGGGCGTGAGGGCATGAGGGCATGAGTGCATGAGGGCATGAGGGCATGAGGGCATGAGGGCATGAGGGCATGAGGGCATGAGGGCATGAGTGCATGAGGGCATGAGTACATGAGGGCAGGAGGGCATGAGGGCATGAGGGCATGAGGGCATGAGGGCATGAAGGCATGAGGGCATGAGAGCCTGAGGGCATGAGGGCATGAGGGCATGAGGGGATGAGGGCATGAGGGCATGAGGGCATGAGGGCGTGAGGGCATGAGGGCATGAGGGCATGAGGGCGTGAGGGCATGAGGGCATGAGGGCATGAGGGCATGAGGGCGTGAGGGCATGAGGGCGTGAGGGCATGAGGGCGTGAGGGCATGAGGGCATGAGTGCATGAGGGCATGAGGGCATGAGGGCATGAGGGCATGAGGGCATGAGGGCATGAGGGCATGAGGGCATGAGGGCATGAGGGCATGAGGGCGTGAGGGCATGAGGGCATGAGGGCATGAGGGCATGAGGGCATGAGGGCATGAGGGCATGAGGGCATGAGGGCATGAGGGCGTGAGGGCATGAGGGCATGAGGGCATGAGGGCGTGAGGGCGTGAGGGCATGAGGGCATGAGGGCATGAGAGCATGAGGGCATGAGGGCATGAGGGCATGAGGGCATGAGGGCATGAGGGCATGAGGGCATGAGGGCATGAGGGGATGAGGGCATGAGGGCATGAGGGCATGAGGGCGTGAGGGCATGAGGGCATGAGGGCATGAGGGCGTGAGGGCATGAGGGCATGAGGGCGTGAGGGCATGAGGGCATGAGGGCATGAGGGCATGAGGGCATGAGGGCATGAGGGCATGAGGGCATGAGGGCATGAGGGCGTGAGGGCATGAGGGCATGAAGGCATGAGGGCATGAGGGCATGAGGGCGTGAGGGCATGAGGGCATGAGGGCATGAGGGCATGAGGGGATGAGGGCATGAGGGCATGAGGGCATGAGGGCGTGAGGGCATGAGGGCATGAGGGCATGAGGGCATGAGGGCATGATGGCGTGAGGGCATGAGTGCATGAGGGCGTGGGCATGAGGGCATGAGGGCGTGAGGGCGTGAGGGCATGAGGGCATGAGGGCATGAGAGCATGAGGGCATGAGGGCATGAGGGCATGAGGGCATGAGGGCATGAGGGCGTGAGGGCATGAGGGCATGAGTGCATGAGGAATTAAGGGCATGATGGCGTGAGGGCATGAGGGCATGAGGGCATGAGGGCATGAGTGCATGAGGGCATGAGGGCATGAGGGCATGAGGGCACAGGGCATCGGGCATGAGGGCATGAGGGCATGAGGGCGTGAGGGCGTGAGGGCATGAGGGCATGAGGCAGAGGGCATGAGGGCGTGTGGGCATGAGGGTATGAGGGTGTGAGGGAATGAGGGCATGAGGGCATGAGGGCATGAGGGGATGAGGGCATGAGGGCATGAGGGCGTGAGGGCGTGAGGGCATGAGGGCATGAGGGCATGAGGGCATGAGGGCATGAGGGTGTGAGGCATGAGGGCATGAGGGCATGAGGGCATGAGGGCATGAGGGCATGAGGGCATGAAGGATGAAGGCATGAGGCATGAGGGCATGAGGGCATGAGGGCATGAGGGCATGAGGGCGTGAGGGCATGAGGGCATGAGGGCGTGAGGGCATGAGGGCTTGTGGGCGTGGGGGCATGAGGGCATGAGGGCGTGAGGGCATGAGGGCATGAGGGCATGAGGGCATGAGGGCATGAGGGCATGAGGGCATGAGGGCATGAGGGCATGAGGGCATGAGGGCATGAGGGCGTGAGGGCATGAGGGCGTGAGGGCATGAGGGCATGAGTGCATGAGGGCATGAGGGCATGAGGGCATGAGGGCATGAGGGCATGAGGGCATGAGGGCATGAGGGCGTGAGGGCATGAGGGCATGAGGGCATGAGGGCATGAGGGCATGAGGGGCGTGAGGGCATGAGGGCGTGAGGGCATGAGGGCATGAGGGCATGAGGGCATGAGGGCATGAGGGCGTGAGGGCATGAGGGCGTGAGGGCATGAGGGCATGAGGGCATGAGGGGATGAGGGCATGAGGGCATGAGGTCATAGGGCGTGAGGGCATGAGGGCGTGAGGGCATGAGGGCATGAGGGCATGAGGGCATGAGGGCATGAGGGGATGAGGGCATGAGGGCATGAGGGCATGAGGGCATGAGGGCATGAGGGCATGAGGGCATGAGGGCATGAGGGCATGAGGGCATGAGGGCATGAGGGCATGAGGGCGTGAGGGCGTGAGGGCGTGAGGGTATGAGGGCATGAGGGCGTGAGGGCATGAGGGCATGAGGGCATGAGGGCGTGAGGGCATGAGGGCATAAGGGCATGAGGGCATGAGGGCATGAGGGCATGAGTGCATGAGGGCATGAGGGCATGAGGGCATGAGGGCATGAAGGCATGAGGGCATGAGGGCATGAGGGGATGAGGGCATGAGGGCATGAGGGGCATAGATGGCGTGAGGGCATGAGGGCATGAGGGCATGAGGGCATGAGGGCATGAGGGCATGAGGGCATGAGGGCATGAGGGCATGAGGGCATGAGGGCGTGAGGGCATGAGGGCATGAGGGCATGAGGGCGTGAGGGCATGAGGGCATGAGGGCATGAGGGCGTGAGGGCATGAGGGCATGAGGGCGTGAGGGCATGAGGGCATGAGGGCATGAAGGCATGAGGGCATGAGGGCATGAGGGCATGAAGGCATGAGGGCATGAGGGCATGAGGGCATGAGGGCATGAGGGCGTGAGGGCATGAGGGCATGAAGGCATGAGGGCATGAGGGCATGAGGGGATGCGGTGCATGAGGGCATGAAGGGCATGAGGCGTGATGGCGTGAGGGCATGAGGGCATGAGGGCATGAGGGCATGAAAGGATGAGGGCATGAGGGCATGAGGGCATGAGGGCGTGAGGGCATGAGGGCATGAGGGCATGAGGGCATGAGGGCGTGAGGGCATGATTGCATGAGGCATGAGGGCATGATGCGTGAGGGCATGAGTGCATGAGGGCATGAGGGCGTGAGGGATGAGCGCATGAGGGCATGAGGGCATGAGGGCATGAGGGCATGAGGGCATGAGGGCGTGAGGGCATGAGGGCATGAGGGCATGAGGGCATGAGGGCATGAGGGCGTGAGGGCATGAGGGCATGAGGGCATGAAGGCATGAGGGCATGAAGGCATGAGGGCATGAGGGCATGAGGGCATGAGGGCATGAGGGATGAGGCGTGAGGGCATAAGGGCATGAGGGCGTGAGGGCATGAGGGCATGAGGGCATGAGGGCGTGAGGGCATGAGGGCATGAGGGCGTGAGGGCATGAGGGCATGAGTGCATGAGGGCATGAGGGCATGAGGGCGTGAGGGCATGAGGGCATGAGGGCGTGAGGGCATGAGGGCATGAGTGCATGAGGGCATGAGGGCATGAGGGCATGAGGGCATGATTGCATGAGGGCATGAGGGCATGAGGGCATGAGTGCATGAGTGCATGAGGGCAGGAGGCATGAGGGCATGAGGGCTTGAGGGCAGGAGGGCATGAAGGCCTGAGGGCATGAGAGGTGAGGGCATGAGGGCATGAGGGCATGAGGGGATGAGGGCATGAGGGCATGAGGGCATGAGGGCGTGAGGGCATGAGGGCATGAGGGCATGAGGGCGTGAGGGCATGAGGGCATGAGGGCATGAGGGCATGAGGGCGTGAGGGCATGAGGGCGTGAGGGCATGAGGGCGTGAGGGCATGAGGGCATGAGTGCATGAGGGCATGAGGGCATGAGGGCATGAGGGCATGAGGGCATGAGGGCATGAGGGCATGAGGGCATGAGGGCATGAGGGCGTGAGGGCATGAGGGCGTGAGGGCATGAGGGCATGAGGGCATGAGGGCATGAGGGCATGAGGGCATGAGGGCATGAGGGCGTGAGGGCATGAGGGCATGAGGGCATGAGGGCGTGAGGGCGTGAGGGCATGAGGGCGTGAGGGCATGAGGGCATGAGGGCATGAGGGCGTGAGGGCATGAGGGCATGAGGGCATGAGGGCATGAGGGCATGAGGGCATGAGGGGATGAGGGCATGAGGGCATGAGGGCATGAGGGCGTGAGGGCATGAGGGCATGAGGGCATGAGGGCGTGAGGGCATGAGGGCATGAGGGCGTGAGGGCATGTGGTATGAGGGCATGAGGGCATGAGGGCATGAGGGCATGAGGGCATGAGGGCATGAGGGCATGAGGGCGTGAGGGCATGAGGGCATGAAGGCATGAGGGCATGAGGGCATGAGGGTGTGAGGGCATGAGGGCATGAGGGCATGAGGGCATGAGGGCATGAGGGCATGAGGGCATGAGGGCGTGAGGGCATGAGGGCATGAGGGCATGAGGGCATGAGGGCATGATGGCGTGAGGGCATGAGTGCATGAGGGCGTGGGGGCATGAGGGCATGAGGGCGTGAGGGCGTGAGGGCATGAGGGCGTGAGGGCATGAGGGCATGAGGGCATGAGGGCGTGAGGGCATGAGGGCATGAGGGCATGAGGGGCGTGAGGGCATGAGGGCATGAGTGCATGAGGGAATGAAGGCTTATGGCGTGAGGGCATGAGGGCATGAGGGCATGAAGGCATGAGGGCATGAGGGCATGAGGGGATGAGGGCATGAGGGCATCAGGGCAGGGCAGGGCATGAGGGCGTGAGGGCATGAGGGCGTGAGGGCGTGAGGGCATGAGGGCATGAGGGCATGAGGGCGTGAGGGCATGAGGTATGAGGGTGTGAGGGAATGAGGGCATGAGGGCATGAGGGCATGAGGGGATGAGGGCATGAGGGCATGAGGGCGTGAGGGCGTGAGGGCATGAGGGCATGAGGGTGTGAGGGCATGAGGGCATGAGGGCATGAGGGCATGAGGGCATGAGGGCATGAGGGCATGAAAGGATGAGGGCATGAGGGCATGAGGGCATGAGGGCATGAGGGAAGAGGGCATGAGGGCAAGAGGGCGTGAGGGCATGAGGGCATGAGGGCATGAGGGCGTGAGGGCATGAGGGCATGAGGGCGTGAGGGCATGAGGGCGTGAGGGCGTGAGGGCATGAGGGCATGAGGGCGTGAGGGCATGAGGGCATGAGGGCATGAGGGCGTGAGGGCATGAGGGCATGAGGGCATGAGGGCATGAGGGCATGAAGGCATGAGGGCATGAGGGCATGAGGGCATGAGGGCATGAGGGCATGAGGGCGTGAGGGCATGAGGGCATGAGTGCAATAGGGCATGAGGGCATGATGGCGTGAGGGCATGAGAGCATGAGGGCATAAGGCATGAGGCATGTGGGCATGAGGGCATGAGGGCATGAGGGCATGAGTGCATGAGTGCATGAGTACATGACGGGAGGACTACATGAGGGCATGAGGGCATGAGGGCGTGAGGGCATGAGGGCGTGAGGGCATGAGGGCTTGAGGGTGAGGGCATGAGGGCATGAGGGCATGAGGGCATAAGGGCATGAGGGCATGAAGGCATGAGGGCATGAGGGCATGAGGGGATGAGGGCATGAGGGCATGAGGGCGTGAGGCTGAGGGCATGAGGGCATGAGGGCGTGAGGGCATGAGGGCATGAGGGCATGAGGGCATGAGGGCATGAGGGGATGAGGGCATGAGGGCATGAGGGCATGAGGGCGTGAGGGCATGAGGGCATGAGGGCATGAGGGCGTGAGGGCATGAGGGCATGAGGGCATGAGGGCGTGAGGGCATGAGGGCATGAGGGCGTGAGGGCATGAGGGCATGAGGGCATGAGGGCATGAGGGCGTGAGGGCATGAGGGCGTGAGGGCATGAGGGCATGAGGGCATGAGGGCATGAGGGCGTGAGGGTGTGAGGTTATGAGGGCATGAGGGCATGAGGGCATGAGGGCATGAGTGGATGAGGTCATGAGGGCATAAGGGCATGATGGCGTGAGGGCATGAGGGCATGAGGGCATGAGGGCATGAGGGCATGAGGCATGAAAGGATGAGGGCATGAGGGCATGAGGGCATGAGGGCGTGAGGGCATGAGGGCATGAGGGCATGAGGGCGTGAGGGCATGAGGGCATGAGGGCGTGAGGGCATGAGGGCATGAGGGCATGAGGGCATAAGGGCATGAGGGCATGAGGGCATGAGGGCATGAGGGCATGAGGGCATGATGGCGTGAGGGCATGAGGGCATGAGGGCATGAGGGCGTGAGGGCATGAGGGCATGAGGGCATGAGGGCGTGAGGGCATGAGGGCATGAGGGCATGAGGGCATGAGGGCATGAGGGCATGAGGGCATGAGGGCGTGAGGGCATGAGGGCGTGAGGGCATGAGGCATTATGGCGTGAGGGCATGAGTGCATGAGGGCATGAGGGCATGAGGGCATGAAGGCATGAGGGCATGAGGGCATGAGGGCATGAGGGCATGAGGGCATGAGGGCGTGAGGGCATGAGGGCATGAGTGCATGAGGGCATGAGGGCATGATGGCGTGAGGGCATGAGAGCATGAGGGCATGAGGGCATGAGGGCATGAGGGCATGAGTGCATGAGGGCATGAGGGAATGATGAGTGCATGAGAGCATGAGTACATGAGGGCAGGAGTACATGAGGGCATGAGGTGTGAGGGCATGAGGGCGTGAGGGCATGAGGGCGTGAGGGCATGAGGGCGTGAGGGCGTGAGGGCATGAGGGCATGAAGGCATGAGGGCATGAGGGCATGAGGGCATAAGGGCATGAGGGCATGAGGGCATGAGGGCATGAGGGGATGAGGGCATGAGGGCATGAAGCATAAGGGCGTGAGGGCATGAGGGCATGAGGGCGTGAGGGCATGAGGGCATGAGGGCATGAGGGCATGAGGGCATGAGGGGATGAGGGCATGAGGGCATGAGGGCATGAGGGCGTGAGGGCATGAGGGCATGAGGGCATGAGGGGATGAGGGCATGAGGGCATGATGGCGTGAGGGCATGAGGGCATGAGGGCATGAGGGCATGAAAGGATGAAGGCATGAGGGCATGAGGGCATGAGGGCGTGAGGGCATGAGGGCATGAGGGCATGAGGGCATGAGGGCATGAGGGCATGAGGGCGTGAGGGCGTGAGGGCATGAGGGCATGAGGGCATGAGGGCGTGAGGGCATGAGGGCATGAGGGCATGAGGGCGTGAGGGCATGAGGGCGTGAGGGCATGAGGGCATGAGGGCATGAGGGCATGAGGGCATGAGGGCGTGAGGGCATGAGGGCATGAAGGCATGAGGGCATGAGGGCATGAGGGGACGAGGTCATGAGGGCATGAGGGCATGATGGCGTGAGGGCATGAGGGCATGAGGGCATGAGGGCATGAGGGCATGAGGGCATGAGGGCATGAGGGCATGAGGGCATGAGGGCATGAGGGCATGAGGGCGTGAGGGCATGAGGGCATGAGGGCATGAGGGCGTGAGGGCATGAGGGCATGAGGGCATGAGGGCGTGAGGGCATGAGGGCATGAGGGCGTGAGGGCATGAGGGCATGAGGGCATAAGGGCATGAGGGCATGAGGGCATGAGGGCATAAGGGCATGAGGGCATGAGGGCATGAGGGCATGAGGGCATGAGGGCGTGAGGGCATGAGGGCATGAAGGCATGAGGGCATGAGGGCATGAGGGGATGAGGGCATGAGGGCATGAGGGCATGATGGCGTGAGGGCGTGAGGGCATGAGGGCATGAGGGCATGAGGGCATGAAGGCATGAGGGCATGAGGGCATGAGGGCATGAGGGCGTGAGGGCATGAGGGCATGAGGGCATGAGGGCGTGAGGGCATGAGGGCATGAGTGCATGAGGGCATGAGGGCATGATGGCGTGAGGGCATGAGTGCATGAGGGCATGAGGGCGTGAGGGAATGAGGCGCATGAGGGCATGAGGGGATGAGGGCATGAGGGCATGAGGGCATGAGGGCGTGAGGGCATGAGGGCATGAGGGCATGAGGGCATGAGGGCATGAGGGCGTGAGGGCATGAGGGCATGAGGGCGTGAGGGCATGAGGGCATGAGGGCATGAGGGCATGAGGGCATGAGGGCATGAGGGGATGAGGGCATGAGGGCATGAGGGCATGAGGGCGTGAGGGCATGAGGGCATGAGGGCATGAGGGCGTGAGGGCATGAGGGCATGAGGGCGTGAGGGCATGAGGGCATGAGTGCATGAGGGCATGAGGGCATGAGGGCGTGAGGGCATGAGGGCATGAGGGCGTGAGGGCATGAGGGCATGAGTGCATGAGGGCATGAGGGCATGAGGGCATGAGGGCATGATTGCATGAGGGCATGAGGGCATGAGTGCATGAGTGCATGAGTACATGAGGGCAGGAGGGCATGAGGGCATGAGGCTTGAGGGCAGGAGGGCATGAAGGCCTGAGGGCATGAGAGGCCTGAGGGCACGAGGGCATGAGGGCATGAGGGATGAGGGCATGAGGGGGATGAGGGCATGAGGGGCGTGAGGGCATGAGGGCATGAGGGCATGAGGGCGTGAGGGCATGAGGGCATGAGGGCATGAGGGCATGAGGGCGTGAGGGCATGAGGGCGTGAGGGCATGAGGGCGTGAGGGCATGAGGGCATGAGTGCATGAGGGCATGAGGGCATGAGGGCATGAGGGCATGAGGGCATGAGGGCATGAGGGCATGAGGGCATGAGGGCATGAGGGCATGAGGGCGTGAGGGCATGAGGGCGTGAGGGCATGAGGGCATGAGGGCATGAGGGCATGAGGGCATGAGGGCATGAGGGCATGAGGGCGTGAGGGCATGAGGGCATGAGGGCATGAGGGCGTGAGGGCGTGAGGGCATGAGGGCATGAGGGCATGAGAGCATGAGGGCATGAGGGCATGAGGGCATGAGGGCATGAGGGCATGAGGGCATGAGGGCATGAGGGCATGAGGGGATGAGGGCATGAGGGCATGAGGGCATGAGGGCGTGAGGGCATGAGGGCATGAGGGCATGAGGGCGTGAGGGCATGAGGGCATGAGGGCGTGAGGGCATGAGGGCATGAGGGCATGAGGGCATGAGGGCATGAGGGCATGAGGGCATGAGGGCATGAGGGCATGAGGGCGTGAGGGCATGAGGGCATGAAGGCATGAGGGCATGAGGGCATGAGGGTGTGAGGGCATGAGGGCATGAGGGCATGAGGGCATGAGGGGATGAGGGCATGAGGGCATGAGGGCATAAGGGCGTGAGGGCATGAGGGCATGAGGGCATGAGGGCATGAGGGCATGATGGCGTGAGGGCATGAGAGCATGAGGGCGTGGGGGCATGAGGGCATGAGGGCGTGAGGGCGTGAGGGCATGAGGGCGTGAGGGCATGAGGGCATGAGGGCATGAGGGCGTGAGGGCATGAGGGCATGAGGGCATGAGGGCGTGAGGGCATGAGGGCATGAGTGCATGAGGGAATTAAGGCATTATGGCGTGAGGGCATGAGGGCATGAGGGCATGAGGGCATGAGTGCATGAGGGCATGAGGGCATGAGGGCATGAGGGCATGAGGGCATGAGGGCATGAGGGCGTGAGGGCATGAGAGCGTGGGGCGTGAGGGCATAAGGGCATGAGGGCATGAGGACGTGTGGGCATGAGGGTATGAGGGTGTGGGGAATGAGGGCATGAGGGCATGAGGGCATGAGGGGATGAGGGCGAGGGTATGAGGGCGTGAGGGCGTGAGGGCATGAGGGCATGAGGGCATGAGGGCATGAGGGCATGAGGGTGTGAGGGCATGAGGGCATGAGGGCATGAGGGCATGAGGGCATGAGGGCATGAGGGCATGAGGGCATGAGGGCATGAAAGGATGAAGGCATGAGGGCATGAGGGCATGAGGGCATGAGGGCATGAGGGCATGAGGGCATGATGGCGTGAGGGCATGAGGGCGTGAGGGCATGAGGGCATGAGGGCATGAGGGCGTGAGGGCATGAGGGCATGAGGGCGTGAGGGCATGAGGGCTTGTGGGCGTGGGGGCATGAGGGCATGAGGGCGTGAGGGCATGAGGGCATGAGGGCATGAGGGCATGAGGGCATGAAGGCATGAGGGCATGAGGGCATGAGGGCATGAGGGCATGAGGGCATGAGGGCGTGAGGGCATGAGGGCATGAGTGCATTAAGGCATGAGGGCATGATGGCGTGAGGGCATGAGAGCATGAGGGCATGAGGGCATGAGGGCATGAGGGCATGAGTGCATGAGGGCATGAGGGCATGAGTGCATGAGTGCATGAGTACATGACGGGAGGAGTACATGAGGGCATGAGGGCATGAGGGCATGAGGGCATGAGGGCGTGAGGGCATGAGGGCATGAGGGCGTGAGGGCATGAGGGCATGAGGGCATGAGGGCATAAGGGCATGAGGGCATAAGGGCCTGAGGGCATGAGGGCATGAGGGGATGAGGGCATGAGGGCATGAGGGCATGAGGGCGTGAGGGCATGAGGGCATGAGGGCGTGAGGGCATGAGGGCATGAGGGCATGAGGGCATGAGGGCATGAGGGGATGAGGGCATGAGGGCATGAGGGCATGAGGGCGTGAGGGCATGAGGGCATGAGGGCATGAGGGCGTGAGGGCATGAGGGCATGAGGGCATGAGGGCGTGAGGGCATGAGGGCATGAGGGCGTGAGGGCATGAGGGCATGAGGGCATGAGGGCATGAGGGCGTGAGGGCATGAGGGCGTGAGGGCATGAGGGCATGAGGGCATGAGGGCATGAGGGCGTGAGGGTGTGAGGTCATGAGGGCATGAAGCATGAGGGCATGAGGGCATGAGGGATGAGGTCATGAGGGCATGAGGGCATGATGGCGTGAGGGCATGAGTGCATGAGGGCATGAGGGCATGAGGGCATGAGGGCATGAAAGGATGAGGGCATGAGGGCATGAGGGCATGAGGGCGTGAGGGCATGAGGGCATGAGGGCATGAGGGCGTGAGGGCATGAGGGCATGAGGGCGTGAGGGCATGAGGGCATGAGGGCATGAGGGCATAAGGGCATGAGGGCATGAGGGCATGAGGGCATGAGGGGATGAGGGCATGAGGGCATGAGGGCATGAGGGCATGAGGGCATGAGGGCGTGAGGGCATGAGGGCATGAGGGCATGAGGGCGTGAGGGCATGAGGGCATGAGGGCATGAGGGCATGAGGGCATGAGGGCATGAGGGCATGAGGGCGTGAGGGCATGAGGGCGTGAGGGCATGAGGCATTATGGGCGTGAGGGCATGAGTGCATGAGGGCATGAGGGCATGAGGGCATGAAGGCATGAGGGCATGAGGGCATGAGGGCATGAGGGCATGAGGGCATGAGGGCGTGAGGGCATGAGGGCATGAGTGCATGAGGGCATGAGGGCATGATGGCGTGAGGGCATGAGAGCATGAGGGCATGAGGGCATGAGGGCATGAGGGCATGAGTGCATGAGGGCATGAGGGCATGAGTGCATGAGTGCATGAGTACATGAGGGCAGGAGTACATGAGGGCATGAGGGCATGAGGGCGTGAGGGCATGAGGGCGTGAGGGCATGAGGGCGTGAGGGCGTGAGGGCATGAGGGCATGAGGGCATGAGGGCATGAGGGCGTGAGGGCATGAGGGCATGAGGGCATGAGGGCATGAGGGCATGAGGGCATGAGGGCGTGAGGGCATGAGGGCATAAGGGCGTGAGGGCATGAGGGCATGAGGGCGTGAGGGCATGAGGGCATGAGGGCATGAGGGCATGAGGGCATGAGGGGATGAGGGCATGAGGGCATGAGGGCATGAGGGCGTGAGGGCATGAGGGCATGAGGGCATGAGGGGATGAGGGCATGAGGGCATGATGGCGTGAGGGCATGAGGGCATGAGGGCATGAGGGCATGAAGGCATGAGGGCATGAGGGCATGAGGGCGTGAGGGCATGAGGGCATGAGGGCATGAGGGCATGAGGGCATGAGGGCATGAGGGCATGAGGGCATGAGGGCGTGAGGGCGTGAGGGCATGAGGGCATGAGGGCGTGAGGGCATGAGGGCATGAGGGCATGAGGGCGTGAGGGCATGAGGGCATGAGGGCATGAGGGCATGAGGGCATGAGGGCATGAGGGCATGAGGGCATGAGGGCGTGAGGGCATGAGGGCATGAAGGCATGAGGGCATGAGGGCATGAGGGGATGAGGGCATGAGGGCATGAGGGCATGATGGCGTGAGGGCATGAGGGCATGAGGGCATGAGGGCATGAGGGCATGAGGGCATGAGGGCATGAAAGGATGAGGGCATGAGGGCATGAGGGCATGAGGGCGTGAGGGCATGAGGGCATGAGGGCATGAGGGCGTGAGGGCATGAGGGCATGAGGGCATGAGGGCATGAGGGCATGAGGGCATGAGGGCGTGAGGGCATGAGGGCATGAGGGCATGAGGGCGTGAGGGCATGAGGGCGTGAGGGCATGAGGGCATGAGGGCATGAGGGCATGAGGGCATGAGGGCATGAGGGCGTGAGGGCATGAGGGCATGAAGGCATGAGGGCATGAGGGCATGAGGGGATGCGGTCATGAGGGCATGAGGGCATGATGGCGTGAGGGCGTGAGGGCATGAGGGCATGAGGGCATGAGGGCATGAAAGGATGAGGGCATGAGGGCATGAGGGCATGAGGGCGTGAGGGCATGAGGGCATGAGGGCATGAGGGCGTGAGGGCATGAGGGCATGAGTGCATGAGGGCATGAGGGCATGATGGCGTGAGGGCATGAGTGCATGAGGGCATGAGGGCGTGAGGGAATGAGCGCATGAGGGCATGAGGGGATGAGGGCATGAGGGCATGAGGGCATGAGGGCGTGAGGGCATGAGGGCATGAGGGCATGAGGGCATGAGGGCATGAGGGCGTGAGGGCATGAGGGCATGAGGGCATGAGGGCGTGAGGGCATGAGGGCATGAGGGCATGAGGGCATGAGGGCATGAGGGCATGAGGGGATGAGGGCATGAGGGCATGAGGGCATGAGGGCGTGAGGGCATGAGGGCATGAGGGCATGAGGGCGTGAGGGCATGAGGGCATGAGGGCGTGAGGGCATGAGGGCATGAGTGCATGAGGGCATGAGGGCATGAGGGCGTGAGGGCATGAGGGCATGAGGGCGTGAGGGCATGAGGGCATGAGTGCATGAGGGCATGAGGGCATGAGGGCATGAGGGCATGATTGCATGAGGGCATGAGGGCATGAGTGCATGAGTGCATGAGTACATGAGGGCAGGAGGGCATGAGGGCATGAGGGCATGAGGGCATGAGGGCATGAAGGCATGAGGGCATGAGGGCGTGAGGGCATGAGGGCATGAGGGCATGAGGGGATGAGGGCATGAGGGCATGAGGGCATGAGGGCGTGAGGGCATGAGGGCATGAGGGCATGAGGGCGTGAGGGCATGAGGGCATGAGGGCATGAGGGCATGAGGGCGTGAGGGCATGAGGGCGTGAGGGCATGAGGGCGTGAGGGCATGAGGGCATGAGTGCATGAGGGCATGAGGGCATGAGGGCATGAGGGCATGAGGGCATGAGGGCATGAGGGCATGAGGGCATGAGGGCATGAGGGCATGAGGGCGTGAGGGCATGAGGGCGTGAGGGCATGAGGGCATGAGGGCATGAGGGCATGAGGGCATGAGGGCATGAGGGCATGAGGGCGTGAGGGCATGAGGGCATGAGGGCATGAGGGCATGAGGGCGTGAGGGCATGAGGGCATGAGGGCATGAGGGCGTGAGGGCATGAGGGCATGAGGGCGTGAGGGCATGAGGGCATGAGGGCATAAGGGCGTGAGGGCATGAGGGCGTGAGGGCATGAGGGCATGAGGGCATGAGGGCATGAGGGCATGAGGGCATGAGGGCGTGAGGGCATGAGGGCATGAAGGCATGAGGGCATGAGGGCATGAGGGGATGCGGTCATGAGGGCATGAGGGCATGATGGCGTGAGGGCGTGAGGGCATGAGGGCATGAGGGCATGAGGGCATGAAAGGATGAGGGCATGAGGGCATGAGGGCATGAGGGCGTGAGGGCATGAGGGCATGAGGGCATGAGGGCGTGAGGGCATGAGGGCATGAGTGCATGAGGGCATGAGGGCATGATGGCGTGAGGGCATGAGTGCATGAGGGCATGAGGGCGTGAGGGAATGAGCGCATGAGGGCATGAGGACATGAGGGCATGAGGGCATGAGGGCGTGAGGGCATGAGGGCATGAGGGCATGAGGGCATGAGGGCGTGAGGGCATGAGGGCATGAGGGGATGAGGGCATGAGGGCATGAGGGCATGAGGGCGTGAGGGCATGAGGGCATGAGGGCATGAGGGCGTGAGGGCATGAGGGCATGAGGGCATGAGGGCATGAGGGCGTGAGGGCATGAGGGCGTGAGGGCATGAGGGCGTGAGGGCATGAGGGCATGAGTGCATGAGGGCATGAGGGCATGAGGGCATGAGGGCATGAGGGCATGAGGGCATGAGGGCATGAGGGCGTGAGGGCATGAGGGCGTGAGGGCATGAGGGCATGAGGGCATGAGGGCGTGAGGGCATGAGGGCATGAGGGCATGAAGGCATGAGGGCATAAGGGCATGAGGGCATGAGGGCATGAGGGCATGAGGGCATGAGGGGATGAGGGCATGAGGGCATGAGGGCATGAGGGCGTGAGGGCATGAGGGCATGAGGGCATGAGGGCGTGAGGGCATGAGGGCGTGAGGGCATGAGGGCATGAGTGCATGAGGGCATGAGGGCATGAGGGCGTGAGGGCATGAGGGCATGAGGGCGTGAGGGCATGAGGGCATGAGTGCATGAGGGCATGAGGGCATGAGGGCATGAGGGCATGATTGCAAGAGGGCATGAGGGCATGAGTGCATGAGTGCATGAGTACATGAGGGCAGGAGGGCATGAGGGCATGAGGGCATGAGGGCATGAGGGCATGAAGGCATGAGGGCATGAGGGCGTGAGGGCATGAGGGCATGAGGGCATGAGGGGATGAGGGCATGAGGGCATGAGGGCATGAGGGCGTGAGGGCATGAGGGCATGAGGGCATGAGGGCGTGAGGGCATGAGGGCATGAGGGCATGAGGGCGTGAGGGCATGAGGGCGTGAGGGCATGAGGGCGTGAGGGCATGAGGGCATGAGTGCATGAGGGCATGAGGGCATGAGGGCATGAGGGCATGAGGGCATGAGGGCATGAGGGCATGAGGGCATGAGGGCATGAGGGCATGAGGGCGTGAGGGCATGAGGGCGTGAGGGCATGAGGGCATGAGGGCATGAGGGCATGAGGGCATGAGGGCATGAGGGCATGAGGGCGTGAGGGCATGAGGGCATGAGGGCATGAGGGCGTGAGGGCGTGAGGGCATGAGGGCGTGAGGGCATGAGGGCATGAGGGCATGAGGGCGTGAGGGCATGAGGGCATGAGGGCATGAGGGCATGAGGGCATGAGGGCATGAGGGGATGAGGGCATGAGGGCATGAGGGCATGAGGGCGTGAGGGCATGAGGGCATGAGGGCATGAGGGCGTGAGGGCATGAGGGCATGAGGGCGTGAGGGCATGAGGGCATGAGGGCATGAGGGCATGAGGGCATGAGGGCATGAGGGCATGAGGGCATGAGGGCGTGAGGGCATGAGGGCATGAAGGCATGAGGGCATGAGGGCATGAGGGTGTGAGGGCATGAGGGCATGAGGGCATGAGGGCATGAGGGGATGAGGGCATGAGGGCATGAGGGCATGAGGGCGTGAGGGCATGAGGGCATGAGGGCATGAGGGCATGATGGCGTGAGGGCATGAGTGCATGAGGGCGTGGGGGCATGAGGGCATGAGGGCGTGAGGGCGTGAGGGCATGAGGGCGTGAGGGCATGAGGGCATGAGGGCATGAGGGCGTGAGGGCATGAGGGCATGAGGGCATGAGGGCGTGAGGGCATGAGGGCATGAGTGCATGAGGGAATAAAGGCATTATGGCGTGAGGGCATGAGGGCATGAGGGCATGAGGGCATGAGTGCATGAGGGCATGAGGGCATGAGGGCATGAGGGCATGAGGGCATGAGGGCATGAGGGCGTGAGGGCATGAGGGCGTGAGGGCGTGAGGGCATGAGGGCATGAGGGCATGAGGGCGTGAGGGCATGAGGGCATGAGGGCGTGAGGGCATGAGGGCATGAGGGCATGAGGGCATGAGGGGATGAGGGCATGAGGGCATGAGGGCGTGAGGGCGTGAGGGCATGAGGGCATGAGGGCATGAGGGCATGAGGGCATGAGGGTGTGAGGGCATGAGGGCATGAGGGCATGAGGGCATGAGGGCATGAGGGCATGAAAGGATGAGGGCATGAGGGCATGAGGGCATGAGGGCATGAGGGCATGAGGGCATGAGGGGATGAGGGCATGAGGGCATGAGGGCGTGAGGGCATGAGGGCATGAGGGCATGAGGGCGTGAGGGCATGAGGGCATGAGGGCGTGAGGGCATGAGGGCTTGTGGGCGTGGGGGCATGAGGGCATGAGGGCGTGAGGGCATGAGGGCATGAGGGCATGAGGGCGTGAGGGCATGAGGGCATGAGGGCATGAGGGCATGAGGGCATGAAGGCATGAGGGCATGAGGGCATGAGGGCATGAGGGCATGAGGGCATGAGGGCGTGAGGGCATGAGGGCATGAGTGCATGAGGGCATGAGGGCATGATGGCGTGAGGGCATGAGAGCATGAGGGCATGAGGGCATGAGGGCATGAGGGCATGAGTGCATGAGGGCATGAGGGCATGAGTGCATGAGTGCATGAGTACATGACGGGAGGAGTACATGAGGGCATGAGGGCATGAGGGCGTGAGGGCATGAGGGCGTGAGGGCATGAGGGCGTGAGGGCGTGAGGGCATGAGGGCATGAGGGCATAAGGGCATGAGGGCATAAGGGCATGAGGGCATGAGGGCATGAGGGGATGAGGGCATGAGGGCATGAGGGCGTGAGGGCGTGAGGGCATGAGGGCATGAGGGCGTGAGGGCATGAGGGCATGAGGGCATGAGGGCATGAGGGCATGAGGGGATGAGGGCATGAGGGCATGAGGGCATGAGGGCGTGAGGGCATGAGGGCATGAGGGCATGAGGGCGTGAGGGCATGAGGGCATGAGGGCATGAGGGCATGAGGGCATGAGGGCATGAGGGCGTGAGGGCATGAGGGCATGAGGGCATGAGGGCATGAGGGCGTGAGGGCATGAGGGCGTGAGGGCATGAGGGCATGAGGGCATGAGGGCATGAGGGCGTGAGGGTGTGAGGTCATGAGGGCATGAAGGCATGAGGGCATGACAGCATGAGTGGATGAGGTCATGAGGGCATGAGGGCATGATGGCGTGAGGGCATGAGGGCATGAGGGCATGAGGGCATGAGGGCATGAGGGCATGAGGGCATGAAAGGATGAGGGCATGAGGGCATGAGGGCATGAGGGCGTGAGGGCATGAGGGCATGAGGGCATGAGGGCGTGAGGGCATGAGGGATGACCAATGATGCTCGCAACCCTTCCACGCCCTTGCTGGCTTGGCAAAAGGCCTAGACAAGCGCAGCCACGTGACCTGGTATCATTTTATCCAACTGCCTGCAGAGTTCAGGACTAGCATGCTGCGGACGAGGATGTCCTCTTTGTCTGAGTACCCAGACGAGTTACAAGCTCCTTGTCTTATTTTTCAGATGACCAAGATTGCCTTATCTGGAAAATCATATAACCAGAATTCAATGGTCTGAAAAAAAACATCTATGAACATATAAAATCGTGTCTGAAAATCAGACCATCAGACGAAAATTTTTTGATATCCAGAGCCCTGGCTGGCTGACAGTAAGCCTAGTGTGTAGGGTACCAGTAAGTACTCAGGCCTAGGAACTAAAGAGCATGATACCTACCATCAAAGAGTAGGTAGAGGAATGGTCGATAGGAAGGGAAGTACGGTACAAATAGGGATGTCGAGAAGGTTAGCTACACTCTACTGTGTACCTGAACAATGTAGAGTCACATTAATGTTTGTTATTTGACAGTCACTCACCCACCCCAAGGGCATTTATCCAAATGATTACTGTAATGTTTCTCCCATTTGGATGGCAAATCTAAAATACATATACCCTCCACCACCCCCATATAAGCTACCCTAGGTCGTCGAACTAGGGAAATATTTGGCCAGGGGAAAAACCTGAGAGCACCAGTCTTGCAAATAATCGTTCTCTTAAAAGACCAGCGCGTTGAACACGAGCTTAAATGGCAGTGCACAATTTCGAGCAGCTATACCGTCATACCCCGGATATACCCCCATGGGGGGCAATAATAAAACAGGTTTTTTTTAGGGGGGTGGGCTTATAATCGAGTAAATTTATAAGCGCCGGCGTTTATAAAACGACATATATAGTTTATATTTTTTAACACCAAGTTGTAGATCCCGTGCTTGCCTTTTCAATCGAGTCGAAGTTACATGGGGTCGTCTGTGAAAATCTCGCGCGCACTGGGAGATACACCAAATCTGACAGCTCCTGACAGCTTCTGACAAGTCCAGCTCACTGGACCCGCATCTAGTGCAGGGTCCGAATGTGAAGGGAACCGAATCTGGAGACATCCGCCTGCTAAAGTAAAATTCGTTACAGCGTTTTGAACACATTTCAAAATTTAAAGTTTACGTGCGCTTATAATAAAACAAGTTTTTTCAAGAGGTGCGCTTATAATCGAGCAGCGGATATAAGCGCCATGCGCCAATTAAAAGCGCCAGGCGCTTATCCGAGGGTGGCGCTTATATCCGGGGTATGACGGTATTTCACAACTAGCTTTAACCAAGGCTGCCAAGGCATAGAGATGGGAGCTTCTCATTCCTGGCTCTGATCTTCACGCAGGTGGGTGTGATCCTGAGAGCGCTCCCGCACCCACCCCCACCAAAGCCAGAGCGCTTGAAGGCCTCCAGTCTGCATGGGATGCCACTTCACTGCAGCTGCCCCACACACCCCGCCCCATAACACCCTCCTTGCCCCCATCACCACTACCCTCCCCACCGTGTGACCCCCTCATCTTCTTCGCCACACGCCCCCCACCATCCTGCACCCTCTCTTCCACCCTCTTTCCTGCCACCGGCACCCCCCCATGCTGCACGCCATGCGCGCCAGCCAGCCCGTCCACGCCATGCAGACACTGAGTGCACGCCTGCATGTCATCCAGCACCAGCCCATCCGCACTGCCCATGGCAGCAGCCCCATCTGAGCCACTTGCCTCTCCCCAGACCGCCTCCAGCGCCTCTGCAGCATCGTCCACGCCCGTGCCCGTGTCCGTGCCCATGCCCGTGCCCGTGCCCGTGCCTACACAGTAGGCGCCAAGGGCGGCGCTGGGCGTGGGGGGCGCGCTGGAGGCGCCTGTGCTGCCACCCGCCACACCCGCCAGGCCGCTCGCCAGCATGCGCCCGTGCCGCTGCTCCGGGTCGCTCAGATACACGGGGCCCCTTCCGCCCTCCCCCCTGTGCCCTCCTCCGCACGGCCCCCACCGTCGCCCACGGGCCATACTGAGTCGTCTTCAGCCGTGCCGCCTTCTGCCTTCTCCCCAGCGCCCCCCACCCGCTTACCCGCCTGTCCTTCCTGCGGCCGCTCCTGCCACCTCTTCTTCTCCACGCCAACAACCCTCGGCCTGCCTCGCGGCCTCCCTGTCGGCCCCTTGCTCTTCCGCTCCCTGCCGCTCGCCCCCACTCCGGCACCGCCGCCCAACGGTCCCTTGCTGCCCCGCCCCTCGTCGCCCCCTGTCCGCTGTGGGCCGCCATGCAGCCGCGCCGGGCGGCCAGGACCACCACCGCCTGCGGGTTCGATGGCGCGGCGAGCGCCACACGCGCTCATCCGCCAGGCCTCCGTCTCGCCCTCGCCGCGCTGCTCGCTGCTGCCATCCCCCGCACGGCCCGCTCTCCGCCACTCCGCCGCCTCGCTGTCCTGCAACTGAACCACAGCGGGACCGTCCTTGACCTTGTCGCGCCCAACCTCGCGCCGCTCTCCCCATGCCGCCGCCTCCATTTCGCCGCTCCCGACGCCGGCTTTCTCGGCATCTGCAGGCGACGCAGAGGGGGTCGCGGGCGCGCGCGGCGTTGAGGCGGTGGATGGAAGACGAGCGGCGGGCGTAATGCGAATCGAGGGCGAAGCGTGCGACGGAGTGAGCGCGGCGAGCGACCCCTTCTTGCCGCTGCCCTTGGGCCGGCCTCGCTTCCTCTTCACCACCACCTCTCCTCCCTCCCTCCGTTCCTCCGCCCGCACCACGGCGCCGCCGCCCACGGCGTGAGTTCCTGCGCTCGGCGCGCAGCCCGCAACGACAGCTGCCGCCTGCGACGCCTGGGCGGGAAGAGAGCCCTCGTCCCCGCCAGCCAGCGAATACTGGGCGACGGGCGGAACGGCACTGCCACCATTGGCTGGCCGCGCGCCGTTCCTCCGTCCGTCGCCGACGGGCGACGTGAACGAGCGACGTGCGAGAAGCGCAGCAGCAGGCGGAGCGGAATAGTCATCAGCCGCGGCAACAGCGGCGGCGCCATCGTCATCGTTGTCCGCGAGGACCACTGTGGCGAGTCCCGCCTGCCGCCGCCCGTCGTACCAGCTTCCCGCGCACTCGTCTGCGGCTTGCGCGGCATCTGGCACGCAGGGTTGCGCGGAGCAGCGGAGCCACGTGAAGGCGGAGTCGAGCACCGCCAGCACCTCCGCCTCGCGCGCGTCCAGCATCGCGCGCAGCCGCGCCATCCGCTCCAGCTCGCGCTGCACCGCCGCGCGCCTCCCGGGGCCGGACGCAGCGGCGGTTGTCACGGTGGAGAAGGGAGCGCGGGGTAAAGGAGGGGCCGGCAAGGGCCCTTTGCGACACGGCGCGGCAGTGTCATCCGGATCGTCGCTGTCCCCGTCTTCGCGACTCAAGTGCGGCGGCGACGCGGAGGCGCGCCAGCGGAAATGGCCGTCCATGGCTGGCAGTAGCCAGAAGACGCAGAGGCAAGCGTGGAAGGAGATTGGGAAGCGCAGCAGGCCACGCAGGGCAAGTTTGAAAATCGTTTCGCGGCCGTCGTTGGCTGGAGAAGCTGAAATGGGAGCGGAGAGCAGAAATGCCTCGTCCGCAACGCCAGCATCAGCAATCACTACACCTCTCGGTTGATGGGCGCACATTTCCAACTTCCAAGTCGCGCGCGCCATGCCATGCGCTCGCACGCCACAGTTGGCCTCGAACGGGGGAGCAGCATGCCGCCCCTCCGCGACACACTGTGCTGGATGGAGGAATCGTGAGGGGGGTGCCCCGTCAGCAGCTGCCCTCGCAGCATCAGCGTCAGCTTCGGCGATCGCTTCAGGCTCGGCACAAGCGTGTGAGACTGACTTGAACGTCGGGGATTGGGTTATGCGCGCCAAGACCGAAGCTCGGCAGCCAATGGGTACGTTTGTTGACGGGTGACCTGGCGATGCTTCAGCGAGAGGGATTTTAAATCGAGCTACTTCATTTCATTCTAATTATCAATCATTACAGAAAAGACTTGTAAGTGTAGCAGCAGCCTTACAATGGAAACTCGAAACTATGATATACGTGTTTTATTGACAATCACCCATCTCTCACCGCAACAGCCGCACCACAACCCAAGAAGGGGACAACGCCCTATCCCATTCCACATTCCGCAGCGATCACCGCGCACCGCATCGCATCGCAACAGTCCGCCGCCATTATCCGCCAGCCGCCATGACCGCCGCCTCCATCTCCTCCTGCAGCGAATGCCTTCTTCCACGCCGCTCCCTCGGCCCTCACGCGCCTCCTCGCCGCAGCGCCCACGCCAAGCCGTTCCCCAGACCCGCGTTCACCCCGTCCCCGCCCGCCAGCCTCCTCTCGAATCCCCGTGCCGTCTGCCGACCGCCGCGCGCTGACCGTGCTGCCGCACCGCGCGCGCAATCATCGTCGCACGACGATCTCGAGGGACGACCGCAGCGTGACGCATGTCTATCCCGCCGTGACGCCCTCCTTTCCCTCGCGCTGCTCCCCCCCTCCCTCTCCGCCGCCGCGCTCCTCTCCCCGTCACCGTCCCTCGCCGCGTCGCCGGCGGCCCCCGACACGACCGTGACGCACCGCGCGTTCCTCGACTTCGCCGTGTGCCCCACGGCCGTGCGCCTCGACCGCACGCTGGGCGACGACGCGCTCATCTGCGCCGACGGCGAGCCGCTCGGGCGCGTCGTGCTGGGGCTGTACGGCCGCGCGGCGCCCGACACGGTGGCGCAGTTCGTGCGCATGGTGGCGGGCGACGCGGGGCCGACGTACAAGGGGAGCGTGATCCACCGGTCGCTGCCCGGGCAGTACGTGCAGGCGGGCCACCAGGGGCAGGTGGCGCGCGGGGACGTGGCTCCGCCCACGCTGCTTCCGCCGAACCGCGACACGGTGACGGCGGCGTCGTTCGTGCTGAGCCACCTGCGGCCCGGCACGGTGTCGCTGTGCGTGGGGGAGAACAACGACGACGAGCGTGTTCGCGCCCGCAGCAACTACCGCAACGTGGAGTTCCTCATCACCACGGGTGGGAGAGGGAGGGGTGTGACGGGGGTTGGGGGGGGAGGATGTGGGAAAAGTAAGGGTGTGAGGGAGGGGGGAGGGGTCATGATCCACATCACCACCTTGAGACTAACGGGGGAAGGGAGGGGTAAGGTGGAATCCCTTGTCGTGCGCGTGACTGCATGCTCGTCAATCATCCGCCCCTTGCTTGCTGCTCTCTTCTTTCCCTTGATTTGCCGCCCTTTCCCTTTTCCCCCTATGTGCTGGCCCCTTCCCTCATTGGCCAACCCTTTCCCCTGCAACGTGATGTGAGAAGCACACCTCCACCCTTGCACGCTTCTCCCCTCGTCCCAAAGCCCTTCCCCCTTATCTGTCACCCGGCTTTCCCCAATCTGCCCCTAGCCCCGCGACTCAGCCTGACAGGGACTCGATGTTTGACACATCTCACACCCCGCTGCCTCCTCATCTTTCTCCCACCCTCTCCAACCCCTTCCCCATCAGGCCCTGGCCCCGCCACGCAGCTGGACGGCGACAACATTGTCTTCGGCACCGTGCTGGAAGGTGAGCGCTGTGCTGCACGGGGCGTGGGGTTCTGGGGTCAAGGCTTGGGGTTTTGGGAGAATAGGGTTGGAGGGGATGGCAGGGAGGGAGAGAGCGGGTGGCAGATGGCTGTCAGGGCAGGGCACGGCAATTGAGATGAGCGCATTCACGCCATACCACCCCATCCCTCTTTCACTCCACTCTCCATCCATCTGTTTCCACTCCTGTGATCCTGCCCTGCTTTCCTCTGAACGCAACCCGATCATCTCTCCCTCATCCTCCTTGCATGCTCTCCTCCCTCCCACCCCCATCCTCTTCTCTCCCCCCCCACCTCATGGCCCTTGGCATGCGCCCTGTGGAGGCAGCAGTGCCCACGTTCCAGCCCAGCGACCACATCCGCCAGTTCAACGACTTCGCTGCTGAGTGCCGTGGCATGCCCTCTCATCCCACTCCCTCCGCACCTAACCCCATGCTTTCCTCCCCATCCACCACCAACCCTGTGCGCGCAGGCATGGAGGTGGTGGCGGCAGTGGCAGCGGTGCCCACGTTCCAGCCCAGCGACCGCATCCGCCAGTTCAACGACTTGGCTGCTCTGCTGGGGGACGACCGTGCTGCCAAGGGCCGTGCCACGTGGAACCGCCCTCTTAAAGCCATCGTCATCCAGGACTGTGGGCTGCTGGAGTGAGAGATTGCCGCAGTCACTTTCGGGTGACTGGCAGCAGGGATGCTGGGAGGGCAGCCCGTGCTGCACCGGCTGCATCTGCTCCTCCTTTCAACCCCCTCCTGCTTTAACCAACCCCAACTAATTTAGACGGGCACTTCACCCCACTTGACTCGTGCGTCACTGTGTTCAACCCTGTGCTCTCTAACTTACCATGCACCCCGCTGTGGAAGGGACCCCACCCCTCCCTCCCCACCCGTCCACCGCCCTGAGCCTGCCTCGCCCTGCCGCCACTCCTATGCCCCCTCCGCCTCCCCTCCCCTGCCTCCCCCGCGGAGGTCCACAATTTTGATGTGTGCCTGCTGCTGCCTGCTGCTGCGTGCTGCATGCGTCTGCCTGGCGGGCACTCATTGCTGAAAGGCAGCAAATGCGACAAACTATGATGAGAGCTCTGTGCTGCCAGGACCAATGGAAGCTAGCCTGCTCCCACCCTCCTGGCATGCGCGAGCTTTACTTTGGTACCAGTTTGTACATTCAATTTACAGCATATGGTACTAGAAACTTTAGCAGTTAACTATAGCGCAAGTAATGTAGGCCAGTTATACAGACAGTGGCGGCTCTTGGGATAAAAGAGTCCCAACTCAAATCTTGTAAATTCATATCAACTAGTATGGGTAGCGCGCGCGAGCAGCCTACGAAGCAGCAGAGGGCACAGGGGTTGCTGCGGATGAGTCCACTGCTTTCTCTGCCTCTTTGTTCACCACCTGCCATGCCGGTGCAGAGGGGCACAGAGGTGCAGAGGGGCACAGGGGTACAGAGGGGCACAGGGGTACAGAGGGGCACAGGGGTACAGAGGGGCACAGTGGTACAGAGGGGCGCAGAGGGACAGAGAGGGGCACAAAGAGGGACAGAGGGGCACAGCGGGCACGCAGAGAGAAGGGAGATGAGAATCGTGGCCCGTGGCATGGAAGAAAGGGCTGCACGGAGTGTTGGTGTACACAAGGTGCGCCAGCATTCATGGGTCATGGGTGGAGGGGGTGCCGCACACATGGAACCGATGGGAGCATGGGTGCGTGTGATGGCAGCGTGAGTGCATGCAGGAGTGCAAGGGCACAAGGGCGCTGACCTTGTTGTTGATGAGGTTGTGCAGCGCAATGATGGACCGCACCAGTGATGCCACGTACACCGCCAGTGTCATGTCGTTGGTGCGCACTGCATGCCATCAGTGCCATGCCATCAGTGCCATGCCATCAGTGCCATGCCATCAGTGCCATGCCATCAGTGCCATGCCATCAGTGCCATGCCATCAGTGCCATGCCATCAGTGCCATGCCATGCCATGCCATGCCATGCCATGCCATGCCATGCCAACAGCGAGGGGGGAGCAGGGCCGGAAACAAACGGGATGCATGAATTAGATTCGGCGATGAGTGAGACACATATTTGCATATTTGTTTGGGCAGTGTTGAGTGCAGTGCACTGCAGTGCAGTGAAGGGAGTGGAGCTCACTAACCAGCAAATGCCTTGACAAGGTTGTCGACATTGAGGTTGGGCAGGAGGTTGAATGCGTCCTGCACGCCGTACAGGATCTCCGCCCTCAGTGCAGTGCAGTGCAGTGCGGTGCAGTGCGGTGCAAAATATTGCAGTGTAGTTCAGTGCAGTGCACTGCAGAACTCACCAGCAAAAGCCTTAACGAGGTCGTCAACGTTGAGGTTGGGCAGGAGGTTGAATGCGTCCTGCACGCCGTACAGGATGTCCGCCCGCAGGGGCAGCCGCCCCGCAGCCACCAGATCCAGGTATGACCGCAGCTGCCTCAGCCGCGACTCCAAGCCCTTCAACGCCACCAGCTTCGCACTCACCTGGGTTGGAGGGGGGAAGGGGGGCGAGGGAGCACAGGTGACCACACGGGAGCAAGCACAGGGGGCGCATGGGGTGCATGGATACTGGCAGCATAGTTGCATGTTGAAAGGCACACGATGCAACACCACAGGGCGCAGGGGCAGCCGCCCCGCTGCCACGAGGTCCAGGTATGACCGCAGCTGCCGCAGCCGTGACTCCAGGCCCTTCAGCGCCACCAGCTTTGCACTCACCTGGGGGAGAGCGGGGGAAGAGGGAGGTGGGCGGGTTGAGGAGCACAAAGGGGTATGGGGAGCATTCTTAAATCGACTCAGAAGCTGTCGCCCTGCTGCCACCAGGTCCAGGTATGACCGCAGCTGCCGCAGCCATGACTCCAGACCCTTGAGCGCCACCAGCTTCGCACTCACCTGAGTGGGAGGGGGGGACGAGGGGAGGTGGGCGGGTGAGGGAGCACAAGGGGGCATGGGGAGCATTCTTAAATCGACTTGAAGGGAAGGGGGGGGTGGGGTGGATCGGGGGGAGGAGGGGGCACAAGAGAGCAGGGGGGATATAAGGGAGCACGGGGAGCATGCAAACTAGCACAGTGCGCATAAGAAATATGTTCCAGAAATGAAGGAGCAGTGATTAGGCATGCGACACATGAGTGCATCGCTACAGTGATTGCTCAAGAGCGCATGGCAGGGAGGGCAATGATACGCGCACCTCAGAGGCGAGGCGAGTGTGGTGATGCGCGCACCTCAGAGGCGAGGCGAGTGTGGTGACGTGCGCACCTCAGAGGCGAGTGTGGTGATGTGCGCACCTCAGAGGCGAGTGTGGTGACGTGCGCACCTCAGAGGCGAGTGTGGTGATGTGCGCACCTCAGAGGCGAGTGTGGTGATGTGCGCACCTCAGAGGCGAGTGTGGTGATGTGCGCACCTCAGAGGCGAGTGTGGTGATGTGCGCACCTCAGAGGCGAGTGTGGTGATGGTGGCGTCCTTCACATCCCGCAGCAAGTGCTCCACGCCTGAGGGGGGGTGAGGGGGGCACGTGGAGAGCGGGACACGCGGAGAAGGGGCAATGTGGAGAGGGGGACACGTGGAGGACATGATACTGGGGGCATGGCGAGGACAGGATACTGGGGTGAGAAACGGGGAGCAGATGACACACAAGGAGGAAAAGATGGACGTGAAAAGGAGTTGCGCGTACATCACTATAGCTGCCCTCCCACCATCCACAACTATCTGCACCATATAATCTATCCGCTCACCGATCTCCTCAGCCTCGTACGCGCCGATCTCCGATGAGATGTGCACAAACGCCTTCTGACTCTTCTGCGTGCCATCCTGCAACATACACTCCACGCGCCATGCATGCCATGTTCATGCCACGCCATGTCAGGTCACATCCACCATGCGGCAATGAGTGAACCATGGAGGGCAGTGCCATGCTCGCAACAGCACAGCTAACGGTTCACAACCAAGTCCTAACACTGCTTTGCTGAAAAGCCTCACCACCCCCTATCTGCCCTCGGCTCCACCAACGGGCAGTGGGCACTACGGCGCAACTCCTTACTGCCCTCGCCTCCTTCATGCCCCCACCTCGTCGCCCCACGCACCTCCTTGACGTCCTCGACGGTGCAGTAGGCCTGCGAGGGGATGGCCAGCTCGCGCGGCTGCACGTCTATGATCACCAACACGGGGTCGCTGCAGTAGCTGCGGGATGGAGGATGCAGGGCACACACATGCGGGCAAGGGCGGATGGGCGCACGGGTGGTGGGTTGGATGGGTGAGCAGGCGGAGCGGATGGATAACCAGCTCACGAGGCTACCAGCTCACGAGGCTACCAGCTCACGAGGCTACCAGCTCACGAGGCTACCAGCTCACGAGGCTACCAGCTCACGAGGCTACTAGCTCACGAGGCTACCAGCTCACGAGGCTACCAGCTCACGAGGCTACTAGCTCGCGCGGCATGGGTGGGGGGTTGGATGGGTGGGGGGGTGGATGGGTGGGGAGGCGAGTGGATAACCAGCTCGCGCGGCTGCACGTCGATGATCACCAGCACGGGGTCGCTGCAGTAGCTGGGGGATGGACGTGCAAGCACATGGGCACATGGGTGGATGGGCGCATGGGCGCATGGGCGCATGGGTGGGTGGATGGGCGCATGGGCGCATGGGCGCATGGGTGGATGGGCGCATGGGTGGGTGGATGGGCGCATGGGCGCATGGGCGCATGGGTGGATGGGCGCACGGGCACATGCGTGGATGGGCGCACGTCTGCATGGGTGGATGGTGGATGGGCGCATGTGTGCATGGGTGGATGGTGGATGGTGGATGGATGGGTGCATGGGTGGATGGATGGGTGGGTGGATGGATGAATGGGCGACTGACTTATAGAAGAGCTCCTGGATGTCGAGGTCGCTCTCGCGGATCTTGGGGCCCGTCGAGTACCACCCCACCACTCGCTCCTTCGCTGCACCGCACCGCACCGCAGGGCGTGGAGGGGGAGAAGGGATGGGCGGGGAGCACGGGAGGCAGATTGGGAACGCAGGCACATCATGGGTGAGAGTGAGTGACATGCGGAGAGGCATACGCCGCAGCTTGTGGCTGGCGGGAACGGATGGGCCTCGTGCAAGGAGGCAAGTGCGGTGCGCGATGGTGCTGGTGTGGAGGGTGGAAGCGGTGAATGCGCACACCGTTGATCTTCTTGAACATGGCGAACATGGCTTGGTGCAAGCAGGCAGGCAAGTGAGGGGATCATGGAATGGATGGTGTGAGCGCACCGTTGATCTTCTTGAACATGGCGAACATGGCCTCGTGGTAGTTGTGATCCAGAAACCAGATGCTCGCGTCCTTGTCGTCCTCCTCGAATGGCACTGCGCGTACACCATGCACGCACGCGCCACGCACGCAGCATGCACGAACGCAGCAGCACGCAGCATCATGTAGCACGAGAGGGCAGGTATAGAGTAGGCCATAGATTTGAGGGACGCAACGCCCGTGCACGAGTTGCAGCGACTGAGATCACAGTGCAGCTGATCAAATCATGCTCATCGATTCAAGCTCATCCCCCACATCCACGCCTGACAGCTCTCGCAGGCACCTCCAAATCCACTCCTGAATACCCTCTCCCGCCGCGAACCACTCCTGAATAGCCTTTCTCGCCGCGACCCCCTCAACCCTAACCTGCGTAGCTGTTGGTGACGTCGATGCGGCCGCGCGCCGTCTCGCCGAGCAGCACACCAATAACGCGTTTGTGCGTGTCCTTGGCGACGCGGTTGTAATGGTCCACGATGCTCAGCAGCACCAGCGGATGCACCACCACCTTCTCGATCGCCACCGCCTTCCCCATGCTGCCGAATCGCTCGCTCGCTCGCTCCCTCGCTTTTCGCGAAGACGACGAATAAATTCGAATGCGAAATCTGATGGGGAATTGACGCGAGGGTCGTTGAGATCGCGAGAAACGAGCGTGATAAGCGGGATCCAGACAAGACCGGTGAAGGGAGGTTGTCTGACGAATTGGCACACGCAGGCGACAGCTGATAGATCGAGATTCGAGAGATTAGGGAGAGATGTGCGAATGCGATGCGATGGGACTAGGGAAGGAGACCTCAAGAGTGGGGGTCAGTCGCCAGTTTGGGTGAATGGGATGTACGCGACAGAAGCGCCTTCGTTTCGAAATGAACTCGCGCTGCTCCACCAATTTCGCATTCTCGGTAGAATATATGTCCTGATGCGAAACCTCTGTTACAACAGAAGTTTCGCGAGAATCGCTGACCGTCGTTCAGAAGATTGGAGCTCCCTAGGTTTCGGCTTCCCGTATGCCACATCCTCCATCCCCTCCCTCCCTCATCCCTCTTCACTATTATCACTTTCGTCCATCATGACTTCATTATCCAGTTTTTAGACACGATTATCTAGTCGTGCGCGTCATTTCCGTTTTCCCCGTCGCCGCGCACCCGCTATGCACCAGTTGCGGGGAATGTGTCCTTCGCGGGCACATGCACTCACGCCGCCGCATCCCCTAGCGACGCTGCATCCCCTCACGACGGCACATTAGATTCGTTCGCGAGAACCTTCCAGCAGGTCCCGTTTTTCCCGCCATGGCGCTGTGGCGGATCCAGACGGTGCTGGGGACGGCGCTCGCGCTGGCGGCGGGGTCGTTCAACGCGGGGAGCGTGGCGACGATGGCGGAGGCGGGGTCGCAGTTCGGCGCGCAGCTCGCGTGGGCCTTCGCCTTCGCGCACGGCCTCGCGCTGCTCCTCAACCTCCTCGCCATGCGCGTCGCCTTCGCCACGCGCCAGTCGCTGCCGCTCGTAAGCCCGCGCCGCCGCGCTTCGTTTAAGAACTGTTTTAGGCTTTCCTGCCCTGATCCACGGGTTTTGTCGCTCCGCGCTTCATCGTCCGCCCGCCACGCCCTCCTCTCGCCTGCGAAGCTTCTTGCCAGTCAGATCGCGTCTTTCGCCGCATTGCCCGCTGCCAATCCTCCCCTTCGCTGCTCCTTCCCCCCCATCCCCTCCCTTCCGAACCACCCTCCCTGCCTCTTCCCGCGTGACCACTTGCGCGGCGAGCAGGTGATTGTGCGCGAGTATCCGCGCGCGTTTTGCCGCCTCGTGTGGGTCATTTGCGAGGCGTCCGTGCTCTGGTTCGACCTCGTCACGGTGCGTTCCGCACTCCCTGCTCCCATCCCCGTCCTCATCCCCATCCCCGTCCCCGTCCCCGTCCCCGTCCCCATCCCCATTCATGCTCTGGTTCGACCTCGTCACGGTACGCGCTGGCCTCATCCCCATCTCCATCGCCTACCCCATCCCATCTCCCGATAACCCCCTCTCGTCGTTTTTTCCTTTCCTGCGTGGCGCACCGCCCGACCTTGCCACGGCAACACAAACTCCATGCACACACCAACCGCTTCCTCCTCCCCGTTATCCCCCATTCTTCCCTCATAACTCCCCCCACCTCCTCCCCCAGGTACTAGGCAGCGCGGTGGCGCTACAGCAGCTGCTGGGCGTGCCGTTCAAGGCGGCGCTGCTGCTGGCGGCGGTTTCGGGCGTGCTGCTGCTGCAACTGCCCCTGCCACAGGTGCGGGGGGATGGGTTCCTGGGAGAGCTTTTTCTGCCTACCTGTTGCTTCTTTCTGCATCCTAGCGTGTGCCTGCGCGCGCCATGCTGCCGCTCCCATCAGCCCGCTGCTCCTCCCCTTCTCCGCTGCCCTCACACCCTATCACTCGCCCTCGCTCTCCTTTTCCCTCGCCTGTCCCTCCCCCCCTATCCCCCCCCCCAGGCGCACCAAGCGGTGTCAGCATGTGTGGCGTGCGCGCTCCTCGCCCTACTCTGCGCGGCCCTGCAGGCCCTCCTCGCGGGTCCCGCCTTCCTGCTCTCTTCACTCTCAGCGGCGCTGCTGCCAGCAGTGCCGCCTGCCTCGCTGCACCTCGTGCTCGCTGCCATCGGCGCCCTCGCCCTGCCCCACCGCTTTCTCCTGCTCTCCGCGCTCGTGCTGCAGGTGCGTGCCCCCAGCAATCAATGGCGCCCTCGTTCCCGCGTGCAGCAGGTGTGTTGTGTTGTGTTTCCCCATGCGCACTGCTCGCCATCCAGGCGTTCTCTCTCCCACATTTCAATGTGCATGCCCCCACACCACTCGCCCTCCCAAGCCGAAACGCCCATGCATGTCACTCAAGCAGGTGCCTTGCCGTCAATCAAGTTCAACCCCCCTCCTCCACTCCCTTCCTCTGCCGCCCATCTCTCAGGACGACCCCAACGCGCACGACCTCATGGAATCACCACGTGACTCGTCATCCTCCCCACGTGATGCGCCCTCCTCCGCCTTCCACCCCTCCGCCACCCACCCCCTCGCCCCCGCCTCCCGCTCCTCCGCCTCCCTCTCCACCTCAGATCCCCCCCACCCGCCGTCCCCCCAGCAGCAGCAGTACCGCCGCGACTTCATCCGCTCCCAGCTAATCGCCGCTGCCGCCACGCTCGCGCTGCTCCTGGGGGCCTCCGCTGTGGGCCAGGGCGCAGGGGAAGACGGGGGAGGGGCAGGCGGGCAGGAGGATGGGGAGGGGTTTGAAGGGGTTGAAGGGGGCGGGGAGGGGCGGGTGGTGCGGCTGTGGGGCGTGTACCGGCTGGTAGAGCAGGTGGTGAACAGCAACGTGGCTCCCACCTTCGCCTCCCTCGCCCTCCTCGCCTCCTTCCACCTCTCCACCCCCACAAGCGCCTATGCAGGCCAGCTCTCCGCCCACACCTTCGCCCACCTGCACCTGCGCCCCTGGCAGCGCTTCCTCCTCACCCGCGCCCTCACCCTCCCACTCCTGCTCCTCCTCTCCCTCACCCTCGGCGACGCCGCCACGCTCGCCCTCCTCTCGCACTCGCAGCTCCTCCTGGCGCTCCTGCTGCCCCTGGCGGCCGTCCCCCTGGTGCGCCTGGCGGCGTCCCCCGCGCTCATGGGGCGCCACCGCGTGGGCCCCGCGCTGGAGCTGGTCAGCTGGGCGGCGTGCCTCTCCGCGTGCGCGCTCTCTGTCTGGTTCCTGGGGGACGCGCTCCTGCGCTTTGCCACTGCAGAGGCAGCCGCAGGGGGCGCGGATGGGGATGATATCGGGGGAATGGGGCTGTGGGAGTGGGTGCTGGCGGGGGAGTATCTGTCCGGGGGGGGAGGGGGGGAGGATGATGGGGAGGGGCTGGCTGTGGGGCTGTCGCCGTCCGCGGTGTGGCGCAACGTTCGGCAGCTAGTGGCGGTATTTGGGGGGACGGCGCTGGTGGGCGGCATGCTGGGCGGGCTGCTTTGGCTCATGCTGCTGCCCCTGCGGTCGGAGGACGAGCAGCAGCGTCGCCTGCTGCTCTCCCACTCCGCCTCCGCCTCCCTCTCCGCGCCCTCCCCCTCCCCCGCCTCCGCCCCCACCTCTCTCCACCGCCCCGGCCCCCTGCCACTGGCGGCAGCGCAGGACAGGCGCGGGGGGGAGGCGCGGTGGGGTTCCGAGAGGGAGGGGAGGGCGGGCGGGGGGGGGACATGGGAGTTACCCCGCCCGTCCGCGTCCCCTGTGTCTGGTCCGCTGCCTGTGCTGTTGTCTGGCGCGGAGAGGGCGGGGGAGAAGGGGGAGGGCGCGGAGGGGGGGTCGTGGAACAGTGCACTGAGGAGGAGCGTGGGGGCGCAGCCGCAGTGGCAGCACGGGGCGGACAGGCGGGAGGTGGGGGAGGGCGTGAGGGGTACGGTATCAGAGGGGGTGAGTGGGTATGGTAGCGGTGGCAGTGGTGCGGGTGTGAGTGGAGAGCGTGGGGAAGGCATGCGAGTGCAGCGAGCAGCGTCGGTGTCAGGGTATGTGGCGGAGAGGGAGGTGGGCGCGGGTGTGGGCGTGCAGGGGGGGAGTGGCAGGGAGGGGGAGAGGGGCAGGCAGGGGGCGGGGAGAGGCAGCATGCTTTCAGCGGCAGGTGGCGAGGGGTGGCAGGCGAGGGAGGTGGGGGCGCAGGCAGAAGCAGGCCGGCTGGGTGGGGAGGAGCGTGCTGTCTCCGTGCGTGCTGTGGCAGCCGCAGCAACGGCCACCGCAGCAGCCGCGGGTGCAGCAGCAGCAGCAGCGGGTGCAGCAGCATCAGCAGCAGCAGGCGCTGCTACTGGCGTGGCAGCTGCAGTAATAGTAGGTGGGAAGGCAGGGGAGGAGAGAAGTGGCGGGGTCGAGGAGGGTATGGGTGGGGGAGAGGCGGTGCCGGTGTCTGGGGTGGGGGGTGAGGAGCGTGTGGGCGACCGTGAGCTGCTGCCTGCCCCTGCACCAGTTGCACTGCCACTGGTTGCACCTGCACTGGTTTCACCCGCACCAGTTTCATCCGCTGACAAGGTTTCACCTGTTGAGAAGGATTCATCTGGTGAAACAGTCTCAGCAAGTGACAGGGTTTCGTTGATTTCGCCTGCTGGGAAGGTTCCAAGTGACCTGGATGGTGGGTTGATGAGCGGGGAAGAAAGCAGGGAGGGGATGACGTTAGGAGAAGGTGGGAAGACGGGCAATGGAGGAGAGGAAGCAGCGGAGAAGGAGAGGGGCGAGGATGGGAAGAATGGTGGCGAGGGGAGCGGAGGCGACGAGGAGGAGGAGGAAGAGGGGGAGATTCCTTTTAATCGAGCAGTCACTCTGGCGGATGGCGTGGGCAGGGCGGTAGATGGCACTGGCGTGGGGGCTGGGCAGGGCGGTAGTGGCAGGGGAGCAGGGGAGACTGTGGGGGACGCAGCGGGGCATGGGGAGACGGGCGGGCATGGGGAGATGGGTAAAGAGCAGATGGGCAGGGAGCGTGGGGAGGAGGCGAGTGGCGCGGGCGTTGTGGGGACGGAGCGGGTGAGTGAGGGGTTGAGCGTGGTGGAAGGAGGTGCGGAGGAAGGCTGTGTGGCGCAGGGTGGGGAGGGAGGGGAAGGAGAGGAAGGACGGGAAAAAGGAGGGGGAGAGGAAAGAGGAGAGGGAGGGGGGGAGAGAGAGGAGAGTGGGCAAGGCAGAGAAGCAGGTAAGGAGGCGAGAGAGAAAGGTAGTGAGGAGGCTAATGGGGAGGAGAAGAACGGGAGTGTTGAGGCATTGGGGGCGATTGGCGAGGCAATGGAGGAGGGCGATGGGGGCATGGAGGGGAAGGGGGGGACGGGAGAGGAGGGGGAGAGGGAGGAGAAGGACGAGGGTATAGAGGAGGTGAGAGGTAAAGAGGGAAGGGAAACGGAGAGGAAGGAGGAAGCAGAGGTGGAAGTGGGTGGGAAACAGCGAGGGGGAGGCAAAGAGGTGGAGGGAGGTGGGGGGGAGGAGGTGGAGACACAGGAGCCCATGGACGTTGGGGAAGCGGGGGGGGCAGATGAGGATGCTGGGGCTGGCAGGCTAGATGGCCAGCAGGATGGGAAAAACGGAAAGCATGCAGAGGGTGGGGACGAAGGGGAGGACGGGAAGGAAGGAAAGGACAGGGAAGGTGGAGAGGATGGGGCAGTGGAGCAGCAAGGAGAAGGCGTGGAAGAGGGGCGAGGGCAACCTAAACTGGATGGGCAGGCAGAGGCGGCAGGTGGGGGGGCGGGAAGGGTGCCCATGGAACCAGTCGCGCACTCCCATCCGGCCGCCATGGGCGGAGAGGAAGCGCGTGCTGGGGAAGGGGGGATGGGCGCGGGTGATGGTGGTGGTGGCGACAGTGGCATGGGGGAGCAGGCGGAGGGCTCTGTTGTGGCCGCGGGGAAGGGGGAGAGGCGGGCAGAGAGGGAGGCATTGGGGGAGGGGGTGGAGGGTGAGGGCGCAGGGGAGGCGAAGAGGCACAGGGTGGAGGGAGGCGGTGGGGGAGAGGCGGAGGGCAAGGCGCAGACGGAGGGAAGGGCGGGAGCGGGGGGAGGTGCCGCAGCGGAAGCAGTGGCAGATGGGGAAGCAGGGGCAGGGGCGGAGGGAGGGGCAGGGGAGATGGAGGTAGAGGAGCAGGAGAAGCGTGTGGTGGCCGTGGGAGGAGTGGTGGCACTGGGAGGAGAGGTGGGACGGAGTGGAGGTGAGGGGGGTGCGGTTGCCGTTCCCTCTGCTGCTGCAGCACCCACGCCACCAGTCGTGGCAGCATCAGCAGCAGCACCAGCAGCAGCGGCAGCAGCAGCAGAAGCAGCAGCAGCAGCAACGGTTGCAGCAGGTGTGGCGGGTGGGAGGACAGATGCAAACAAACCGCAGCAGCAGCAGAATCACAGCCATCCCCAGCAGCAGCAGCAGCAGTCCCACCTGGCCCGATCAGCCCTGTCCAAGTCCCCACCTCTGCCCGATTCTGGCCCACTCCTCCCCGCCCCTATGCCCCGCACGCCCTCCCCCCCGTCCGCCCAGGCACCGCCCTTCACTGGCGCACGAAGCAGCGTGGGCAGCCCCTGCGGGTCTGGATCCCTCTCTGACCTTCTGCACCACTCCCAACCGCGCCACCACTCCTCACTGCTCTCTTCCGCTGCCGCTGCTGCTGCAGCAGCGGGCAGGGGCAGTGACGGCGATGGGCTGGGCGCTCTGCCTGCTGGGATTGGGGCGGGTGGCATGGGTGGCAGCGGCAGCATGGGTGGCAGCGGCAGCGGCAGCCTGTCACGCGTGTCTGGGCTGGGCAGGGGCGCGCGCAGGCAGTTTGCCGCCATTCTGGACGAGTTCTGGGGCGGGCTCTTTGACCTGCATGGCCAGCCCGTTCCCCTGCCCGCTGCCCGCCCCCCTGGGGGGAGTAGCAAGGCGGGGGGGAAGGGGGGAGGGGATGGGGGGAAGGGGAAGAGAGGTGGGGCGGATGGGAGTGGAGGTGGGGGAGGGGCAGGCGTGGGCGCTGGTGCACGCTCCAGCATGCTTGGGGCTGCTGCTACTTCCACTGCTGTCAGCGGTGCAAGCAGTGCTGGCAGTGCCGGTGGCTATGGTGGTGGTGGTGGTGGTGGTACAGCAGCAGGTGCGGCAGCAGCAGCAGGAGGAGGGGGTGCAGCAGGCAATGCAGCCAACGGAGCACATGCCTTCCCACCCGCCCTGCCCCCAGAGGACCATCTCTTCTCCCCTGATCCCCTCCCCGACCCCCTCTCTCTCCCCAACCCCCTCGCCCTCACCGCCCACCGCTGCTCTTCCTTCGACGCCTCCTCCCCCCCGCCCCCCCTCCACGACCCCTTCCTCTCCCGCGACCCCTTCTCCTCCCGCTCCTCGCTCTCCCGCCCTCCCCCCTCCATGTCCCCCCTCCTCTCCTCCGCCTCCTCCGCCGCCCACCCCTCCCCCTCTGCGCGTCAGTACAGCACACTGGCGCATCTCCCCAAGTTCTCCGACCTGCCCCCCCAGCAGCAGCACTCTCTACTCGCCGCACCCCCCTTCCTCCCCTCACTCTCCGCCCTCTCCGCCTCTCCCGCCCCCGGCGCCCCTCACAGGGAGGTGGAGGGGCCTAGCCGCTCCACCCCCAACCTGTACGCGGATCTGCTGGCGCAGGGCTATGGGGGGGGCGGGGGAGGGGGAGGCGGAATGGGGCTGGGGGGAGGGCGGGGGGCGTTTGGTGCGGTTGGGTCGCCGGCTATGGGTGTGGGTGGGCTGTCTGGTGGTGCTGGGCTGCTGGGTGCTGCCGGTGCTGCTCCCTTCACACCTCAGTACCAGCCACAGCAGCAGCAGCAGCACCCGTCCTCCTCTTTCTTCTCCTCCCAGCCGCACCCACACTCGCAGCAGCACCAACAGCAGCCGTGGCAGCAGCAGCAGCAGGGATGGCTGCAGCGTGGAAACAGCATGGATGGCATGGGCATGGACATAGGGATGGGCATGGATCAAGGATTGCACAGGGGCACGGATATGAATATGGGTATGGATATGGGCATGGGAATGGACATTGGCATGGGCAGGAACGAGCGTTTGGACCAATTGGCACAGAGCTATGCTAGCTTTGCTCCTCCAGACGCCATGCGAGGCACCAACCCCATCTCCCACGCGCACACCCACGCCCATGAACATCCCCAGGGCCACCCCCACGCCCCCATGCACCAGCTAGTGGGCACGTCCCCCTCCGCTCCCCCCGGCTTCCCCTTCCCCCGCCACCCCTCCCCCCCGGCGCCTGCAGGGGCGCCGTGGGGGGAGGGGCAGTGGGGGCGGGGAGAGGGGGGGCGGAATGGATGGGCGACAGCAGCAGTGGGAGCAGTGCGTTTGGAGGGGCTGGTGGTAACCACATGGAGTGGCAGCAGGCAGTGCAGCAGCAGCAGGGGCAGCAGGGTCAAGGGCAGGGGCAGGGGCAGGGCGGGCATGGCATGGGTGCAGTGAAGCCCATCGGCCCTCCCTCCCGGCGCCAGCTGCAGGAACAGGACGACCAGCAGAGCAGCACCAGCACCAGCAGCAGCAGCACCAGCAGCAGCAGCGGCATCAGCATCAGCAGCAGCGCTCACTCCTCCCTGTGGGCCAGCAACCCGCGCGACATGCTCTTTGGAACACACTCCGGTCCCCTCTCCTCCTCCCTCTCCTCCTCCCCTGCCTCATCCTCCCCCTCCTCCTCCACCCCTCTCGCCGCCCCGCCCTCCACCGCACCCAACCACTCCCCACCCAACCCATCCCGCTCACCACCCCCCGCCAAACCCCACGTGCAAACAGACGAAGAGCGCCGGATGGACCGGCTGAGAGTGTGCTTGCACCGCTTGCTCCGTCTAGACGGCAGTGACTGGTTGTTCCGATATGACACGGGCAGTGATGAGGACTTAGTGGCGGCTGTGGCCTACCGGGAGAAGAAGCTTGCAGGGGACGCTGCTGCTGCTGTCGCTGTGGGACTGGGCGGAGGGGGCGGTGGGGGCGGCGGGAGCGGGAAGTGGGGGGGGATTTTGGAGGGGCAGGCGCAGGGGGGCAGGGAGGGGGGGGGAAGGAGGGGGAGATGGAGCTGCCGCCGTCGATATGGGGGTGTGGAGGGCAGTGTGTGTGGGGGCCGCTGCTGGTGGTGTCTTTTGGAGTGTGGTGTGTGCATCGCGTGCTTGAGCTGTCTCAGTTGGAGAGCCGCCCAGAGCTGTGGGGCAAATACACCTACGTGCTCAACCGCCTGCAGGTGAGGCAGGCAGGCACACAGTTGTGCATGTGCCGTGCGCATGGGTATGAGCATGTGCGGCACGTACACTCAAGTGCTGAGCTGGCTGCAGGTGAGGCAGGCGTGTTGGCATGAGCTTATGCATGGGCAGCACAGCACCCCATCCCTCTCCGTCACCACTGCCCACATCACTCCCGCTTCACCCTCTCCCCATTCTCCCCTTCTCCACCTTCCCTCATATCCCTCTCCCCATTCTTCCCCACTTCCACCTCTTTCCCTTCATCCCCTCCCCGTTCCAACCAACCCCCCTCCCCTTATCCCCCAGGGCATATTGGACCCAGCCTTCTTCCGCCCGCGCACCACCCCGCGCTTCTGCCAGTGCTACGGCGACCGGGCCTGTCTCCCAGCCCTCTCCGCGCAGCCCATCTTCCACGGCGCGCTGCTCTCCGCCATGCTCGGCTCCCAGCTGCCCCTCGCCAACCAGCCCTCCCTGCCCTTTAGGTGCAACCCCAGGCCAGCCCACCCAACCTCACCTGCTCTCTCCCCCTTCCATTTGTGTCCTTTCTCTCCCCCCCCCCCCCCCACCACCCCTCTCTCCCAGGGCATATTGGACCCAGCCTTCTTCCGCCCGCGCACCACCCCGCGCCTCTGCCAGTGCTACGGCGACCGGGCCTGTCTCCCAGCCCTCTCCGCGCAGCCCATCTTCCACGGCGCGCTGCTCTCCGCCATGCTCGGCTCCCAGCTGCCCCTCGCCAACCCCTCCTGGCCCCTCGGCGCTCACCCCGGCCAGCCCAAGCCAGCGACCCCAGCTCTGTTCTTAGAGCGGATCAGGGAGGTGGAGGTGGCGGTGGGGGCGCGGAAGGGACGCACCGGCACGGCGGCGGGGGACGTGGCGTTCCCCAAGGGGAAAGAGAATTTGGCGTCCGTGCTTAAGAGGTATAAGCGCAGGCTGGGGGGCAGGCCGTCGGGGGGAGGGGGAGGGGGAGGAGGAGGGGGAGTTGGAGGCGGAGGCGGCGGAGGAGGAGGAGGTGGAAGAAGGTACTGAGGTGGATGGCAGGGGACATGTCTTGAACTGGATTTGATTCAGGGAGGTGGAGGTGGTGGTGGGGGCGCGGAAGGGGCGCACGGGCACGGCGGCGGGGGACGTGGCGTTCCCCAAGGGCAAGGAGAACCTGGCTTCCGTGCTCAAGCGCTATAAGCGCAGGCTGGGGGGTAGGCCGTCAGGGGGGCAGGGCGGGGGAGGGGGAGGAGGGGGAGGCGGAGGGGGAGGTGGGGGCGGAGGGGGAGGAGGGGGAAGAAGGTACTAGTCAGAAGGTTTGGGACTTTTTCCTTTTGAGGGTGACGGTGACATGTCACCAGGATGGACTTTTTGAGATGTAGCAGGATTATTGGTAGGAGGCGATGGTGAGGTGTAGTGCGGTGCAGAGCAGTGGTGAACAATGACTTTGCGGCTTCAGAGCGTGCAGGATTGCTGAGAGGTTGGTGCTTTTCCCGCCTCTGGCGGTTTCTTACGATATGTGATGCAGAATGGCTTGACAATGTTTCTTGGGCCGTATCATATCACCACCACCAGTGTGACTTTCCCCTCATCCCCACTTGCTTGGCTGGCCACATTCGGTGCCACGGCAAAGGAGCTTCACAAGCACATAGGGGCCCATAATCTGCATGTTGCGTTCAATTATCTATACAAGCAATGAGCAGGCTGTAAAAAGAACATAGCACCATGGAATGCTGACAGCCATGCTGTGCTACAGTAGTGCCAGTTGGGCCCCTAGAACACAAGGTGCATGTGATGCCAGTACCAGCCTGTACAAGAATAGTGTGCATGTGCACACGGTACAAGAAACGGGGAACTGTACAAAGAATAGGTACACTGCCATGGAATGAGGGCCATGCTAGTGTCTCTTGGGCACCCAGAACAGCACATGCAGGATGCCGGTGACAGCCTGTCGCACGCCAGACAGGACAGACGATGCCACCCAGATCCCTGGCAGCCCCAGGCGGTACACGGCATTGGCGGCGGTCATGGCGTGCGACAGCATCTGCATGGCAGCGGCAAAGCATGGGACAGTGAGGGGGCAGTGACGGGGCAGTGATGGGGCAGTGACGGGCAGTGACGGGCAGTGAGGGGCAGTGAGGGGCAGTGAGGGGCAGTGAGGGGCAGTGAGGGTTAGAACGGGCTGTGGTATGGAAATCAGCGTGAGGAGCGACAATCAGTGTGAGACTACGAGACATTGCACGCATAACCAATCCAAAAGCGCCACACCACTCGTGGTATTCCAGAAATCTTCCCAAAAACCACATTCTTTTGGCGCACCATCTGTGCCCACCCCATGTAAGCACAAACCCCAAAGCAGGGAGCGGCGGAAACGGGGCCCTCACCGTGGGGAGGAATGCGAGGCGCGCGGACCAGGCATAGAGCGCGCCAATGAGGGGCACCTCCGCCACCAGCGGGTCCACCTCGAAGAAGTTGCTCTGCTCCACGATGCGCCACACCACCCACCTGCCACTGCCGCCGCCAGCGCCGCCAGTGCCGCCGCCGCCACTGCTAGTAGCATTTACATATCCCTTGTCCCCGCCACTGACACCGCCGCTGTTGCTGTCGTTGCCAATGGCGCCAGCTGCGGCTGTCCCGCCAGGCCCTGACGGCGCTGCGGGAGCGTCGCTATAGTCCTCAGACGCGACGCGCTCCTCGTGCGGCTCGAGGCGCAACACGGCCACCATGTGCAGCTGGCGCGGGGTGAGCGGCGCGAGCCACGGCCGCACGCACAGCGTGCCGCGCACCGCCAGGCAATCCGGGCGCGTGACGTCGTAGATGACGTCAGCGACGGTGAAGTACCAATAGATGGCCGTGACGCTGCGCAGCTGCGCGGATCATATGGGGGAGGATGGGGGAAATGGGGAAATGGGGGAAATGGAGAGGATGGGGGGATGAGGGGGGGGGAGATGGGGGAAAAAATGCAATAACTAGTTTTGAAGTTCTAGCTCGCGCGGCGTCCGTTAATCGCACCCAAAAGAGGTTTTCAATGGCGGCGACGGAGCGGCATGCGAGCAGCGGCTGATGCAGCTGCGCGGAGGGCGCGAAGACGCGGCGGATGGTGGCGGCCTGCAGCGGCAGGTCCGCGTTCTGCACGATCCGGTGGATCGCCCCCGCCACCTCCTCCGCCGGCCGCTCCATGCGCTTCCTCCGCGCGTGCGCAACCCCTCGGACTCCCTCCCGAGCGACTCGCCGACTTTCGCGAAGTTTCTTGGGCGGGTAACCAGATTGCAAGTCGAACGAAAGCAGTCTGCTGGGAGGGCAAAGCGGAGTGGATGGGAAAGGAGAGGACGAGAGAGCGAGAGTGGGGGAGAAGCAAGCAAGGAGGGATGAGGTTGTGGGGATGGAAGAGCAGCGAATTGTTCGATCCAAAATGTTGAGAAATGGAACATTTTAGTCGCGACGCCAGCCATGCAGCGAATCAAGGGTGCGCACGTGGTGAAAGCAGGAAAAACTGGTGCGAGTCAGCGACAAAATTCTACGCATTATTTTAGATATCTGAGTTGTCCGGTGTAACATTAGTATTCGTCTTACGTTTCCGCTTCCCCTTTACATCAACCCCTTACGAACCCAAAATCAACAAATGTCTGCTGGCTTGACTCTTTCCCATCTGCCTCGTGACTGCCCCAATCGCGCCGCAATCATGTCTCGCCGACCGCGCACTTGTCCGCGAACAGATCTCTCCTTTGCTAGCGCTTCCCCTTCCGCGCGCCCGTTTCCGACCCACGGGGAGCTGTTGGCGGGCGTGCTGGCGCTGCTGGACCCGCTGCTGCTGCTGCGCGCGCGCCTCGTGTGCGCGGAGTGGTGCCACGTCATCAGCTCCTCGCGCCACCTGTGGCAGCGCGTGGTGGAGCGACAAGTGGCGCTGGCCGATAGGGCACGCTCTGGGGCAGGTATCGCCATGGAGAAAGTTGAAGGGGGAAACGCGGAGCGCGGAAATGCGGAAGTAAGGGGAGGAGCCGCGAGTGGCGAGGGGAATAGGTTGGGCGGGGGCGAAAAGAAGGGTGCAGCGGGGAGGGGAGCAGAGGAAGGGGGCGGAAAGGCTGGGAGTGGGGGCGGGGGAAGGGAGCCGGGAAGAGGGGAGGAGAGCGCAGAGGGGGGAAGTGGGGGGGAAGAGGTGGAGGGGATGGGGAGTGAGGGCGTGCGCACGGCCGTGGGGATGGCGGTGGGCGCGGAGCAGAGGCGGCGCTACGGGCGCGGGGAAGTGAGGGTGTGTTTGATGCGTGGTCACACAAGAGGGAGGTGAGGGAAGGTGGGTTGGGTGATGGGAGGTGAGGAGAGGTGAGCGAAGGTGGTTGGAGGTGGGGGGAGGTGGGGGGAGGTGGGGGGAGGTGGGGGGAGGTGGGGGAGGCGAGGGTTGGAGGGAGGTGAGGTGAGGAGGGAAGAGTGGAAGGGTACAAAGGGGAGGTGGGGGAGAGTGGGCATGAGGCACAGTTGATGCACATGAGTGCATGCACGGTCTTTATTCTTCTCCCATTCCCTTCACTGCGCCCCTTCCTCTTGCCCTTTCACTGATTCTTTTCACTTTCTTCTCCCATTGCCTTTCATTCCATGCTCATTGTGTTTCACCACTGGCCCCCATGAAAGCCATGTCCCTTGCCCCCTGCCCCCTCCCCCCTGCCCCCCCCCCCTGCCCCGTCCCCCATGCCCCCTCCCCCCTGCCCCGTCCCCCCTGCCCCCCCCCCTCCCCCCTGCCCCGTCCCCCCCTGCCCCGTCCCCCATGCCCCCTCCCCCCTGCCCCGTCCCCCATGCCCCCTCCCCCCCCCCCTGCCCCGTCCCCCCTGCCCCGTCCCCCATGCCCCCTCCCCCCTGCCCCGTCCCCCCTGCCCCCTCCCCCTTGCCCCCTCCCCCCTGCCCCGTCCCCCATGCCGTGCTCCGCTCTGCTCTGGTATGCACCATGGCAGGGTGAACGGGGTGGCGATGCGGCATGGCGCCGTAGCTACTGGCGGCTCTGATGATGTATGTCATCCCTGCATCGCTGCAACCTCCCCCGTTTTCCCCTCCAAAACAAACACAGACACGCATGTCCCCCCCACTCACCCCCCCCCACTCCACACACACACGTGCATCCCCCCCTAATGCTCTTGCATCTCCCACCATCTGCATTGTAGTCCCACCATCTGCATTGTAGTCCCACCATCTGCATTGTAGTCCCACCATCTGCATTGTAGTCCCACCATCTGCATTGTAGTCCCACCATCTGCATTGTAGTCCCACCATCTGCATTCTAGTCCCACCATCTGCATTCTAGTCCCACCATCTGCATTCTAGTCCCACCATCTGCATTCTAGTCCCACCATCTGCATTGTAGTCCCACCATCTGCATTGTAGTCCCACCATCTGCATTGTAGTCCCACCATCTGCATTGTAGTCCCACCATCTGCATTGTAGTCCCACCATCTGCATTGTAGTCCCACCATCTGCATTGTAGTCCCACCATCTGCATTGTAGTCCCACCATCTGCATTCTAGTCCCACCATCTGCATTGTAGTCCCACCATCTGCATTGTAGTCCCACCATCTGCATTGTAGTCCCACCATCTGCATTGTAGTCCCACCATCTGCATTGTAGTCCCACCATCTGCATTGTAGTCCCACCATCTGCATTCTAGTCCCACCATCTGCATTCTAGTCCCACCATCTGCATTGTAGTCCCACCATCTGCATTGTAGTCCCACCATCTGCATTGTAGTCCCACCATCTGCATTGTAGTCCCACCATCTGCATTGTAGTCCCACCATCTGCATTGTAGTCCCACCATCTGCATTGTAGTCCTGTGCTGTGCTGGGTGCCTGTGACCGCCCTGCCCTGTGGCTCATCCCACCACCGAGTCCCATGTGCTCACTGCTCCCCTTGTCCCTCTGCGCCTCTTCCTATGCGCCCTCCTCCTTCCCCTCCTCTGCAGTGTGTGCGCCTATGGCAGGTCCCTGCACTCCCTGCACTCCCCTCCCCGCCCTCCTCGCACCGTTCTGCTGCCTCCTCGGCCCCCTCCCCGCCCTCCGCCTTGCCTGCCTGTCGTCAGACGGCTTGCTTCCCCTCACCAGCTGCTCAGCCCATCACAGCCGTTGATCTAACAGACATCATGGTGAGCCGTTGATGGGCCCATGCCCATGGGCGTCTGAATAGCAGTGCCCTCACTGCATGCCCATGGGCGCCTGAATAGCAGTGCCCTCACTGCATGCCCATGTAACGTGTGTGCTTGCTTTGTCCCTCCTCCACCTCCAAAATTCTCTCTTTTCCTTCTTCCCTCCTCCCACTCCCTCCCTCTCTCACCTCTCTCACCTCTCCTCTTATTCATAGCTCCTTGCTGCATCTGGCATGCATGCCTTTTGAGGATTTTCACATTGTAAATATTCTCTTTTTTTGTTTGGAGATTCTCAAAAATCACCTCCTTTGCCTCCCCTCCCAACATCCCCAGGTGCTTGCAGCATCGGGCACACAGGTCTTTGCGTGGAACAAGGAGACCGGGAAGCTTCTCAGAAGCTTCGGCGGCCACCACCAGCGCGTTCGCACAATGAGGTGAGCGGATCAGATAGGATCAGATCTGCCCAGCTGTGGGCAGATCAGATCAAATCTGTTGCAATGCAACCCCTTCCCTACCCATGTGCACGCCTGCATTCAATCACTCTTCCGCCCCTCTCTCACCCCCTTCACCTCTCTGCCCACGTGCATGTGCATGCAGCTACGATGACACGGACCTGCTAGCAGCATGCAGCGACGGCACTGTTCATGTGTACGACATATACAGCGGCACGACCACCCACATCCTCCGCCCACACGCCCGGGCACGTGGCGGGGCAACTGCCATGAGCTACAGTGGCAGCATGGGGCTGCTGCTGTCAGGCGGCACGGATGGCACGGTTCGTCTTACTGACTGCCGCTCCTCGCTGCAACTGCACACCCTGCTCGTCACCGACCCCTCCCCAGGTGCCACCTGCGAATCCCTGTGGCAGTCCATAATCAGTCCTCCAGAGTCCCGCACTTGACGAGCAGCCTTGGGAATGACGACCGCACTGTTATGATTTTGCTATGCCATCTCCCCACTCCCTCCGTGCAGTGACGTCAGTGCTGCTCTCCGTGCCCAGCAACAGAGTGATGGCAGCATCGGCATCGGGGCACCTGCGAGTGTGGGACCTCAGGTGGGTGTTAAATTGAGGCTGTTTTGAGAGTTCTCATATTGGGTCAGCTGGGTGCAAGCACCTGCAAGTGTGGGATTCTGGGAGGTCATGTGAGCTGTCTAATGCGTTCCGCACCCCCAGCAGCCCACGTATTCTTACTGCCACTTTCTCGTCCTCCCCTTCCCACCTCCCCAAATTTATTCTATCCCTCTTACCATGTCATCTCTCCCCCGCCCTCCCCCTCCACAGGTCTCCTGCTCGCACACTCATGGATATCGCCATCTCTCCCCCCACCCACACCACACTCGCCCTCCCCTCCTCCCCACTCGCGCTCCCGCCTGTTCTGCTGACAGCTGGCGCCACAGGATTGGTCCAAATCCTGGATGCCGCCTCCCTCGCTCCCCTTCGCCGCCTGAGCCGCCCTCCACTTGCTGAGCTGGCTCTGGGCGGCGGGGCAGGGGTTGCAGTTGAGGTGGATCGGTGTGGTGGGGCAGGGGAGGGACAGGGATCATTGCGTTTGGGATCAGGGCAAGGCATGCGGGAAGGTGGAGAAGATAAGGGGCAGGGCCAGAGTCAGGTGGCTAGGGGCAGCAGGGGAGTGCATGCTTCGATAGGGGAAAACGGGGCAGCTGCTGGTGTGAGTAGTGGGGGGGTGTCAGGAGGTGCAGCATCTGGGGTGACTGGCATCGCTGCAAGAACATCCACATTTGTCACATCACATGTTGATGGAACTGGCACCTTATGGTTTGCTGGTCTATAATGCTGTGGTCTAATGAATAATTTCCAAACATATTTCAGTATAGAAACCTGATTTCAGTGTGTGGCAGCAAACAGTAGGCTTATCATAAGGTGAAAGGGTCAACAGACAACTCTCAACCATCTGTGCAACCTTGGTTCTGACATGGATGTTGGCTTTCATGTGTGCTAACTTGCCCAGGGATGGTTCATCAAGCAGGGATGTAAGGTAGCGTACCTGAGTGCAGTTGAAAAACTTTACAAACGATCTACGTCCCGTACTACATCCAGGAGCAGGCCACCTGGCTCTACTCCACACCTATCTTTCTAAATACTGATGTTGCACAACTTCGTATGTTCTCATAATTCATGCTGGTAATAGCTGCCGTACCTGTACTAGAGCTTCTTCACACAGATGAATGCTTACTGCATCATGCAACAACTGTAAACGTGAAAAAAATCAGCTATCAATATGCATGTTATCGAGGTATCAAAATGCTAACAAATAACAAATCTGCCTCCGCAACTGTTGTTTTGACTGCTGGCAGAAATGCTATCATCAGATAATGATGGCAGCTCAGAGCTCGTCATGAGCAGCCTCCTGCAACAAGTCATCAACAGGCACCATCAGTGTCAGACAACATAAATCAATCCGTGGGCATTATGCCCAAAACAGGAAAGGTAGCTGACGAGAAGTGGTGCCAAGTGTGGGGTTAAGAGTGACATGAAGAGCTGCATGGCAGAGGTCTCACCTCCTTGGCTTCTGCCTCATCCTCCTTGTCTGCAGCATCCTCCGCAGCCTCGGCCTCAGCCTCGGCATCATCCTGGAATCAATAGAGCCAACGGTCAGCATCCGTCATTTTAGCTCCAGTGAACAGCTTCATGAGTCAGCATTCAATTCTAAGAACTGCAGCATAATAGACTACTCACCTCATCATCAGCATCATCATCCGCAGCGTCATCCTCCTTCTCCTCCTCCTCCTTGGACTTCTCGGCCTCATCATGCATCTTCTTCTCCTCCTGCATTAACAACATGCGCATGCAAAGTTAGAACTTCCTTCTGCAGCCCAATAGCCAACATCCGAGTTAAGTGCCTGCACGTACCGCCTTCATGGCGCCCCATGTGTCCTCAGCGAACTTGCGAGCGTACTCAGCATCGTCAGTGACAAGGATGTTGTCAAAGATGGTGCCTGCCTTGACCTGCATATTAAGAGTGCATACCATCATTAGTATGAATGCCTCGCAAGAAGGTCTGTCAAAGTCTGCAAGAACTCCAGAACAGGATGCGACACACACCTGCCAGATCTCAAAGCCAGCATAGCGCAGAGGTGGTAGACGATAAGCCTCAGGCTTCTCCACGAAGTCTGGAATACCGAATGATGTTCGAAGTTAGAATCATAATTCTTTTAGAATAGGAAGCAGGCTAGATTCTGTTCAGATACGACGCCAAATAACTGAACAATCCATTCGCACTTACCAGGGTTGTCAATCATAGGAGGCTTCCACTTGCCCTTGTACGCGGGGTTCTTAATCCTCTGCAAAAGAATTAAGGCAGAAAGCGTGGAAGCCATTCGCCATTAGCATACGCAAGCCGCTACCACGTAGCGACGACATTGCTTGAATTAGACAGACCCAATAAAAGATGATCGACACCATCAGCGTCTTATCACAAAGATGTTTACGAAAACTTACCTTGGGCTTCCATTCGCCCTTGTACTCGGGGTTAGGGATAAGAGGAGCCTCCCATTCACCATCATCCTCATCGTTCCAGTCCTCAGGCTGGAAACAAACACATAGCACGCAGTATAGCGAAAGTTAGTCAACCGTTCTATTTCCTTTTGGTATTCTCTGTTAGCTCCGCATTCTCGCACATGTTCGAACGTTTTAACAACCAATTGCTCACCTTCTTAGCCTCGGGATCCACGATCTCAGCGGCAATGTCATCCCAGCCCTGCATGGTTAGAAATTTTAAGGGAGCGGGAGTCAGGGAGATGGATGGGATAGATTAAAGTAAAGCAGCTGGAAATTCGAAACCTCGCAGTGAATTGAATTGCTGGAACCAGGGAAATTCAAGTGAACGTACATCGGGCTTCTTGTCCTCGGGATCATCCATGTACTCGTCGTCAACCCAGTCCTCGGGCTTCTTGACGGACTTGTCGGGGATCTGGCGAGGCTTCAGGAAATCCCACTCCGCAAAAATGTCACCGCCAGACTTCTCGACGTTGTCGATCAGGATCTTGTAGGTGTTGTTGGGGCTCAGGATAAAAGTGTAGACGTGGGAGAGAGTGTCGGTTTCGCACTCCACGTTCTTCTTGATCAACATGTTCTTGCCCTCGTGGGTGATGATGGCGTGGACCCTCTTAGTCGAGTAGCCGCAGATGTCCGGGCCAAACATGATGCTGCATAAAAAGAAAGAGCAGTATGTTAAAATTTCACGTTACGAGCAACGATCCAACAGAAAAAACAGTAAGGACAGGATCGAACCTGTAAGGAGTGTCGCCACCGAAGTTCTTCTGGTCAACCTCCCCCTCCAGGAGCTTGATGTAGCCACCACCACAGTCAAGATCCTGCTCATGCTTCACTTGAAACTGAAGAATGAGGTCCTTGTCCTTGTTGTCAAACTCCTCAATCTTGGCGGAAATGGCGAAGAACCGGGCGTCGGGGTGTGTCTGGATACCTGCAGTAAGAAAGCGTCCGTAAATGCGATTCATTTTTTGCGTACGTCCAAAACAGCATAATGAGAGAAAGAGAGAAACTTACCTTTATCCTCGGGATCCTTGTAGTACTTCCCAGCGGTATGCTTCCATTCTCCCGCGGCTCCCTCCGACTTCTTCCAGTCAGACACTACCCACCTCGACTCCCATGAATCTGCACAATAGTAAGCGAACGTGCTCAGATATCTCCAGATGTCTCAAGGAACTAGGGATTTGTGGCTTAGAGCCAGTTCAGGCAAAAATGACACTCACTCAATCACTATAGCACCTACCGTCAAACTTCTCTTCGAAGTACACCTTAGCTGAGACAGCTAGGCAGAGAGCCAGAAGGCACACAAATCGAAGAGCCTGCGCCATTGTCGCTAAGCTAGGAGATCAAACCTATCGAAGTAGCGTAATGAAAATTCAAGACATGGATTACATAAGAGGATCTGGTGGGGAGAGCAGGCACTGGGGATCGGTAGTTGGTTGGCTCGGTGCATCTAGAAACTTGTGCTGAAGCCAAGCCCGAGGGAAAACCACAGCTGGAACTGGTTTTGGCGCCAAAGTTGAGACAGCCACTCAGCCGTCGACATTGCTCGCGTGGGCCAATCACGAGAAGCCAACCACGTCAAAATGAGCATCCAGAAGCTGAGTGCTATAACCGTCGATCTAGTCGCTGAGAAATCGAATGCCGTTGGCTGCAGCTAGTCCTGCAAGGTTGTGTCGCATGAACTTCCTTTTCTGCCGCTGACAGAGCGAGAATTTTGGATCTGTGTTACACCTCCTTAAAGCCCGCGGCCCAAATTGCGGACCGCGCGGGTCAAGTTTTTAAAACTTGACGAAGTGGCCTGTTCAAGCTTTGAAAGGTAGCGCAGGTGCAATTTGGGACTTCCGAAGTCAGACACACCAACCAGAGGGAACTCAAGGGGCTCGTTGGGTTTGGCGAAAAAAAACGAAGTTGACGAAACTAGAAACTCTCGCCTAAACCCAAGGCTGTAAAACCCCCTCTCGTCATCTTTTTAAAACTTGTGCAATTTGGGCTGCCGGCTTTAAGCAACTTTACAAAGAATCTACTTTACACAGAAAATTGTGGGCGTCACTACACCAGGGTGGATGTTTGTAGCGAACTAAACTGTACTGCAACGAGAGTAAGTGACGTGGCATTGGCAGTCAGACCCGGGGAGGTGGAGGCCACCACAGCATTCGATGCCGCGTGGCGGGGTTGCTGAGTGGATCTATGATCCAGGGCTCTTCTCCAGCAGTCACGGGGAATCTCTTGCTGGCCAGGATCAGTCGTCAAGCCCCCATTCCAGCGTGGCGTTCTGTTCCTCAGGCCGTTCCCTAGTATCCGACGTGGCAGCCCCAAACCACCGAGCCAAACATCCCATTGTCCAGCCAAGCCACAATCGTCTAGCTTGCGCGCTTCGAGTCTGTGGCTGGCAGCCGGAGCTGCGAAAGGGGGAACGTGAGAATCCAACCAGCAGAGGGAAGGGACAACGAAAGGAATCTCACAGCAGTGATTCAAATTCACCAGCCACATATCTTTCACGCAGGTTGCTCCGAGTCGTAACCAGACCATACGAGAGGATTTGATTTTCCCTCGCTCGTGCTCCTGCAACGACGCCATGGCTGCCATCGCCCACTCCGCGTCGCTCCTCTGCGAGGCGTCTCTCGCCGCCGCGCGCTCGGCCACCTCGCTGCCGTCCCACTCGGGCCTCAAGGCCGAGCCCCGCGTGGCCGTCCGCAGCCTGCGCGCGCAGCGCGCCAAGACCACCAAGCCCATGACGGTGCGCGCGAGCGCGGGCGCCGCCGTGGAGGGATTTGAAGTGAAGGCAATGCCGACGTCGCCGATCGAGGGGCAGAAGACGGGGACGAGCGGGCTGCGCAAGAAGGTGAAGGTGTTTCAGGAGCCGCACTACCTCGCCAACTGGATCCAGGCGCTCTTCGACTCGCTGCCCGCGGAAGACGTCAAGGGCTCGCTGCTCGTGCTGGGCGGCGATGGCCGTTACTTCAACCGCGAGGCCGCGCAGGAGATTATTAAGATCGCCGCCGGTAACGGCGTCGGCAAGATTCTCGTCGGCAAGTGCGTACCGTACCCTGTCCATCTCGTCCCACCAATTACTCCTTTTTGCTTTATTTAATTTTTCTCCCTCTGTTGCTCGCCACCCTCTGGTCTGACCCGTCCCCCATTCCCCTCGTCTACCCCGCTCATGTTTCTTGACCGGAATCATTGCGTCATCGTCGCCGTGCCTGTCCTCCCTGCTTCCTCTCACCTTCCGTCTCCACCCCCCGTGATCTCCGCTCTCTGCGCGCAGGGACGGCATCATGT